CAGTGTTTCCCAATTTATAATAAACCATGAACGTGTATTTAAAAGAGAATATTATCTGATTTGTGAGTACAAAGTAGTAAATAAAAATGTAATATTTACCAATTTTAGCATTTGACCATCGGATAAAGAATTGCCGATTTTTTAAAATTTCTTAGAATAGTGCATTTGCCCTCTAACAGGACTGGAACTCTAAAGGAATTCCGAAGGAACTTTCGATGGAGCTTAAGGGAATATTAAAGGAACTCCTTTTTTATTCCTTGTGTATTCCAAATGTCCGCACCTAGGGAATTCCATAATGAAGTACTTAAGGAATTCCGCAAGGAAATACCTAAAGAATTCCTCTTGAACTCCAAATAGGACTCAAACTTCTATAACTCGTCATATTTAAATCAAAATGTCTGTAATACACAGTTATGGAAAAAAGCTTTGCCATCTCCAACCCCCAAATTGCTTACTATAATGTATATTTAATAAAAACAAAACGTCAAGAGCCAATAATTAAACTAAATTTTAAGTTTTTAATAGTTTTGGTAATTGTGTAATAGAATCTCAAAATTTTAGACTACATAATATGTTTACACTATATAGTGTATCACATTAGGCTATGGTTACTATGGATGCGAATTCTGATGAAAATGTGTTCTGACGAGAATTTCGGACGTACTCGTTAGAACACACGATTGATTACATTGTGCGGGTTTTCTGATATTCTGACAGTACGTTTCTGCCACCCAGCAAAGATGAACGAACTTGATGAATTTATGTTCTCGAAAGACTGTTAATGAAATTATCATTGTTAAATGGTGGAAAAACAGAGCAAGTTAACCAGTTATTTTCTAGAAGAGACGAAAAAATATCTCTGTTAAGGTAATATTTTTCTCTCGTGTCCCACAAACACCTGTTCTCTTACACGAGACTGTTTAATTTATCGGAATCTATGATTTAAATAAATTAATATATTAATAAATTAATAAATTGTATAATAATTGTAAAATATCAAATTTGCTAATTTCAATCATGTCGAAGTAGACGCAGTTCGCACGAAAAAATCAAACATGTTTGAACGCTCAACTGTTTCTAATGATATCGTGTATGTTCTGACGTGATCGTCGCTGCCAATGTAAACACTCTTATTGGAAAACACGTGTTTGTTTGGACGAATTCGTCTGAACTCGTCAGAACACATTTTCGTCAGAATTCGCATCCATAGTAACCATAGCCTAACACGTTTAAGCCCGGTTTCCACTTGTCATATTTTATATCCGAGACACACGGACGTGGATACGTCTCGGATCTGTGGGTCACTGGTATGAATTTTGACATTACAGTATACTTTGTCAATGACGATGTTAGAGTATGCATTTTATATATTTTATATAATTACATTTTAGTATTGAAAATGGATCCAGACGTGGCGAACGCCGTTCTTTCAGTTTGTGGACTTTTAGCTAATGAGTATAAACAACAAATTTTGTCTTGTAAAATTAAAAATAAAATAAAATGTTGGGTTCGGCAATGGGTTTCTAAACGAAATAGTTTTTGATGTATCTTATATGTTACTACAAAACTTCTAATGTCGAGTATATGTTTACAAATTTCATTGTCGTATCATCAGACCCACTTTTTTCGGACATTTTTGATAAATATATTATTATATTATTTAATTACAATAATATTATATATTACTATGATATAATACTATGATATTTAATATGATGAAATATAATATTATATAAAACTATCAACTTTAACTTCGAATGCACTGAATGATTGGTTAATTGTTACTGCAGTTATATTTATTATCGGATGGAATTTCGTTCGATAATTTTGATACATATCCCTGGCACCACGGATATGATAATTGACTCGTACGATATAAACAGCACGGACGTGAACGCATATACACAATCAAATAATTATCCGTGCAACGGATTCGAGACACACGGACGTCGTCTCGAATATAAAATATGAGAAGTGTAAACCGGGTTTTACGCGTCGCCTCCGAGTTTGCATGTGTATTGCACTTGTACTATAAAATATATGTGATCAGCCTGCATCTACCTACGATTGTCACGTTAAGCAGCCCGTACACACTAGAGCACGCATAGACCTAGCATGTGTGCTCACGTTGTATGTTGTGTGTGCTCAGTATGGACGTTACCACGCACAACAAGCTTGTATGCGATAAATCTGCACTTCGGATATTTAGTTGTGTGGTGAATGTATACAGTGTATGTTTTTCGTATATTGTGTTTAAAATTTAAACTTTAATAATAATTATTTAATTTTTATTGTCACTCAAGTGCTTACACACATTTTTTAAAATCATGTCATTGAAATCAAATAAAGTTTTAGTCGAACACGAACTAAAAATTAAAAGTTTTAAATTAATTTAAATAAATTTTAATTAAATTAAAAGTTTTGTTTTAGAAAAATAATTATTATTTTTTGGGCTCCATAGCGCTGGGTGTTGTTGGTAATGTCGAATGAAATCTAAACACAATTCATTATTCCATTCCATTTCGAAAAATTTAAATGAAAATGAATAATAATGGTTATTAAATAATTATTCACTAAACTTGTATAATCGTGCGCGCGGTCGCAACAATACTGAGCATACTGCCGTCCATACTGAGCAGTAAATATGATGATCATCGCGACGCACAATGAACGCGAACCGGTAAATTGGAAGCAACCGATTGCATATTTTTTAGTGTCTAGTTCATGTACTGGTTATGACTTACAATATATTAATATTTCAACAATAATTAAAATTCAAAGTACTTCTTTAGATATCAAAGCTTTTATAACAAGAAATGGGCTCAAATTTTGTAGGTTTTAGTAACAATTTTCAAATTTTAATGCATATAAAAAACCTAATTTAAAAGATTTTAATAGACCATTTAAAAATACTCAGTCTCAAAATTCCATAGACAAAGATATATCTTAATATGCCTATGCAAAATTCACATTTATTATTCATGGAACAATTCTTTACAAACTTAAAAGTTTTTGATAAAAATAAAATAGATGTAACTAATCGAATGAAATTTATTAAAGGCTGGTTAGTTTCTATTGTTGTTTTACATTTACTGTGGACAATATTAAAACGTGAAAATCCTGGTCACAACTATGTTCTATACACTAATAGATTAAACCTAGATAGAATTGAAAACCTTTTTGGTACATTTCGCAACCAAAATAGTAATAATATGAATCCCACTCCAGTCCAATTTTATTATGCTTTTAAAAAAATATTTTGTCTAAATTATTTTCAATATTCTGAAAATTTCAATTGCATTCAAGATTTCGACGATATATTATCTGAAATTTCAGATCACTCTAATAAAGAAATTCAAAATATAATATTTCCTGAAAAATCTCCTTTTAAATTTAAAACGCCACTTCCCATTGGATCTGTAGATTATATGGATTTAAGTCTACCAAATCAAAATTCATTAACATATGTTTGTGGCTATTTAATGAAAAAATGTTTAGAAAAACATAGTTGTGATGTTTGTACGTATACAAACTATGCTAAATTTCAACAAGACTTAGACCAATCATTTTTGTTTTCTCATTTTAAAGCATATACTCATAAAGAATATTCAACTTGTAACAATTTAATTATGCCACATAATTTAGATAATAATTACATAATTACATAAATACATGATTACATAATTCATAACTTAGAATCTGTTTTTATTCATCGTTTTCCAATACTTGCTCTAGAAATTGAAGTAGGTAAAAAATTAAAATTTAGTATATTTAGCATAATTTATAATCACCCATGTGAAAGTTTTGATAAAGATTATCTTCTTAATTTGTTTGTTAGATTCAGAGTTTTTTTTCAAAAATTAAATTTCTAAATAAGGATTTTTTTTCAGAAAAATCATAAAAAAAAAAAAAAAAAACTGGCTACTTTACAACATTTATAATTCATTTCTTACATTAACTCATAAGTCATAACCATAGCGTAACTTCAATATGGTACATCATTTCTGACACATAACTTCTGACAACCTAACAAAGTGCAACGGCCGGTTCCAAAGCGTTGGACTGTGGACCAGTTCTGGGGCTACAACTTTCAAGTAGCTGCCACCAAAGCGTCGAGCTGTGGATCTGTTTTGGAGCTACAAGTAGCCGTTTTCAGAGGTTTAGGACTATGGACCGGTTTTGGAACTACAAGTGACAGCCTATTTTGCAGTACTTTCACCTGTATCACCTATAATCTTATTTATTTATTCAACTTTTTACTATTGAATTTGTGAAGAACATTATAATAAACGAGCTTACACTTCTACCACGGACCAAAATTTGTTTTTATTTTTAAAATAATGTATTTCTTTCCTGTCTTTGTGATACAATACAGAAAATATTTTTAAATTGTGCAAGTCACTACTTCTTGACGTGCAAAAAATTAGTATTCTAGAATAATATTAAAGATCAAAAGAGTATTTTTTAAATATTTCAAATACACTTATCAAAAAATATTTGAGAAGTATTTGAAATACCAAAAAGTATTTAAAAGTATTTATATATTTAACAAGATTACCTCTAATATAGTTTAAAAAAAATATAAGTAGATATTATAAACATAGGCCCAAAGATTACGACAGACTAATCTATATATTAAATTAAAGCTATACAATATTTTAGATGATTTTTGGAATTCTATTAGCGTTGACACTCATGACTCATAATACACATTTTATATTATTATGTATTAAATATTTGATACAATTATAATGGTAAAAGATGTTGTACATTGTTTTTATTTCTCTTATGTGGCCCTACTGATTTATGGTAGGTTCGTGTTATCAGTAAATTGAAGAAGTGCACCATCTGGTTTAATTACAGATATATATATATATATATATGGGTTTAATACATAGACTTCTATACTAAAGTGTGGTAAAAAAGTCTGTGGTTTAATATAATCTGTGCTTGAGAGTTAAGACCACGGTTTAATATAGAATTTATATTTCTATCTAAAGCCATGGTTGAGACAGTACTGGGCATAGACAAGAATATCAGTACTGGCTCTTGGGTGGTACTGTGGTAGTACTGTAACAATTTGTAACACCAGCAGCTGTTGGCTATGGTTTTGTTGGGCAAACATGAATAAACGGGCTACGATTACGAATGGTACACCGATAGTTGATACTATAAACCGTATACGCTTACCGTAAACCCAAATTGTGTTGTAAATCGTGTTTCGCGTTCGTGTCGTGAACCGTCCGAACAAATGACGTTTTGACGTTATCGTCATGGAAAGTTCATTTTTTCACGAATTACAAAATAATAGAAGACACCGGTTCGCGAAATGTCATGTCTTCTAAAATATTTGATTTTACATTATAGATAATTTATACAGTAGTTACACTGATTTACAGTCCGTAGACAAATAATTTACCTCAATCGTTCTAGTTTTATCGTTAGTGCTTGTGGTCCTGCGACTAAAAATGGCAGGTAAGAGTTGTACCGTTTCTTTGATTTTGGGGACTGTACATTTTGTTCGTGAAATCGGTACCAGGTCGGTGTCGCGGATAAAACGATATTCTCCTGTTCCCCCTCTTCGACTAATGACAATTAACTGTTTGCTGTAAACAATAATTATTTTATGATTTACAATTACTGTATTATAATAAATTATTTTATTATTGTCTATTCGATTTTATTAGTTATTACTATTTGCCACAAATGCAGATTGCTTAATAGATTTTATCTATTGCATTATTAATTTAGGTTTTCAGTTACTTTCATGTGTATCATTTTTTAATGCTCAATACATTTACACAAATGTATAAGATATAATCTTTCTTCGTGTTCAATTGTATACCTAACAAAATAGATTTTAAATACTATACTGTATACCCACAACAACGATTATAATAGAAATTCATGGATATATGCCTGATATCGGAAAACAATTTTTGGCAAATTTCATCATTGCTTAATTAAACTAAAACATTTTTGATTAATTTAACTTCATCTCCTTTGCCTTTCTCCTAACTATTTAGGGTCTGCCAAAACATATTTGATAAATTAATTATTTGAATTCTTCAATAATTTTACTTTTATGCTACAATTTTTATCTACTAATGAACTATTATTGCACAAAAAAAATTGTTTTATGATCAGTTTCATCTAATCAAATTTTTTTATTATGACTTCTTAAATAGTTAGGTTTAAGTTGAATGCTAATACTTAGGATAATATTGAGAAAACATCACTGCTTATGTTGTAGCATTTATGTTACATTGCATTTATGTAGTTCTTTACCCCAAAATAAGAGTATATAATTTCGTATTTTCTATGTTTTTAACTCATAAATGTGAGTACATTACTTGACAGATATTATTCATCAGTATTAATTATTATCTACCATACTACTTAAATAGTTTTAAAATTAAATATCAATGACCAGTAAATGCATTTTTATAAGGTACCTAATTAGAAAATTAAATAATTGTTTTCTTTTTTTTATTAGAAATATTATTAATACACTTTGAGTTGGTTTGAAAATGTCTTTGTCTATATATGAAAATTTAACATCTATTAAACTGAGCTGTTAATAAACTATAAGTTCAGTAATGTACAAACATTTTTCCTTCAGATAATTTAAAAAAATTTTATTGCTACTTAAAATATAATTCTTACTTCATTCAGAATCTAAAAATAATATTTAGAATTTTAAAACATCTTATCAAACATTTTATAAGTAATTTAATTTAGTAATTTTAAAATTTTCCAAACACCTCACTATTTCAAATTATTTATATTCCTATCGTAGAAAATTACTTTTATATTACTGCTACTGGAGTAATATTTTAGTACTACTATAGCAGTATTGACCTGCTTCATAATTATAAATAGTACTACATGAAGAATAATGGCCGGTTTCGTCTGTATTTTTAATTACTGCTATAGTAGTTACTGACCGTGAGTATGTGAACTGAAACAATTCAAGAATATCAAAAAGAAATTAGTACCTTTAGTTCTATAAATGTTATACTTTTCGCATAGACCATTTTTTTTATGTTATCAGATGTTTACCTTTTGATTTTTTTCCCTAAATTGTATATTCTAAGATAAATCTTATGAAAATTTAAAAAAATTATAGTAATGGTGGAAATCATTGTATCTATCTCAATTTCTCCACAATATTATAATGATCTATACAATACTAAGTATTTTTATTAAGTATTCTTAATTAGATAATTTCAACCAAATTCTATAATGCTTACTTTACTTTTGAAAGTACCAATAACTAATTTTTTTTTTTTATATAAACAATTTTTAATAAAATATATTCATACCATACACAAGCATCTAACAACATTGATAAACAGGTATTAAATATGATTTTTATTTCATTATCTAGACCATAGTTATTGTGATAATGAGAATGTAATAGAATTCACTGAAAATTATGAATCAAAATATGTAATATCCATGTCAGATGATCCTGATTATCAAGAAGCACCTAAATCTGGACCTCAAACAAGACTTAAATCAAAAATTAAATTGGAGCAATCTCAATCTACTTGGGCTCCAGTTCGCACTGCTCCAGGTTTACGGCCAAATTGTATGATTTTTTATGATGGAAATGGATTTGCCTACCACAACCATAAGATTGCAAATAATAAAAAGTATTAATTTAATTAGTTTGATTTTAGTATATAATAATTTAATATAATGTATTCTTAGATATTTAAAATGTACACAAAAAAGTATAAAAAAAAAACCATGCCCTGCTAGAGCAGTTATAAGAAATTACGACAATATGATTCGTCATTCAGGAGAACCACACACACATAATCCAAGAAACTATGACGAAGATTTACTAAAAAGGAACTTTTTGATGAAAATTAGGGAAAGAGCAATCAATGAAAACACACCAAATAGAAGAATTTTTGATGAAGAAATTAAAAAGTTGGTTTATACATTAATTGTAAATGTAATATTAATTTTAAATTTTGAATTTTAATAGAACTCCAAAACTAAGGGGCAAAGTATCCTTTTCAAGTACTGCTAGAAGAATGCAGAGATTTCGACAACCACAAAAAATGCAAGGTCCATTATTTCCTATAGAAGATGATGAACTCATTAATGCAATTAATGACTACAAAAACATTTCTGATGAGGATATCAATTGTAGTGAAAATCTTAAGTCAAATAGTCCATCACTTGATGAATTTAATGCAGAAAATCATATGGAAGTAATAGAGGTTGATGATGTTTATATGTATAATAATGAAGTTATTGATGAAAATGAGACCTTAAACGAAAAAGATGATAAAGAAAATATTTCTAAAAATCTACAAAAGGAAACCGAAAAAACTGTAAATATGTTTTGTAAGTTATAATATTTTTAATGCATTTAGCGATTATTTTTGGTCTAGAATATTTTTTTTATTTTAGGTTGTATTTATTGTAATAAATGGCAAGAAGCTCAAGTTTTTGAATTTGTACCTAACCAAAAATCTAAAACAATTGAACTAAAGGAAAAAATAGAGAAAACAAGTGAAGAATTATTATCATCTACTGATTATTCTAGTCCAGTAACTACTTCTATTACTTCTGAAAATTTAACTCCAAGTAATGATCAAAATAATATTCTTGATTATTCTGAAATTCCCGAGGATATATCTCAAAAGTATAATGATAATACAGAATTGTCAAAAAAAGATCAGAGTATGAATATGTGTTCATATACTAGTGTTTCAGAAACTGATAAATTAGGAAAATCAAAATTAAATAAAACTTCTAATCAAGAAAATAAAAAAAAGGGCAAGCGAAAAGGTTTTTTACAGATGAGAATTGATTCAACAATATATTTTGATAATATGGGTTACAGTTATCAAATACAAAATGAAAAAAATGATAAAAAGTAAGTAATTTTTTTAAAAAAATAAATACAATCTTGTATGTGATGTAAATTGATAATTGATAATTACATATTTATTAAAAGATACCTTAGATGTGTTGTTTGGGGAAAGAAGAAATGTCCTGGACGAGCCCATTTGAACAAGAAAACTTCCAATATTATTAGATCTAGAGGCCACAATCACTTACCATCAACTAACTCTGATGCAGAAAAACAAGCTCGGGCATTTTTACATGCTATTAAAGGAAGAGCTCAAGATGAAATTACTCCATTAAGAACTATATATGAAGAAGAAATATTAAAGTGTGTTAAAACAATATAATTAAGTTTTAAGTAGATTGTTCTAAAAAAAAAAAATGTTATAGATTTCCTCTTGCAGCCTCTGTTGTAAATTACTCTAATGCTACCAGACGAATGCAACGCACAAGAAGATTGAAAAATCAACCGGATTCAGTATTAGAAAAAGAACCTCCTTTATTATTATCAGTCCAAGTAATTCCTGGTACTCGGCGTGGTACATCTTTATACATGGACGAACTAGGCTATTATTACCATAATGATTCTTTAACTAATAATGGAAAGTAAGCTTATCTAATTTTGATTTTTAAGTTATTTGACATAATATATATTATACTAATAATAATTACTTTTAGAATAGTAAGATGTACCAAAAATAGGAAAACTTCCACTGATGAAGCATGTCATTCTAGAGGATTATTACGTGCTTCTGGAGAGGGATTTGTCATTTATCGCACTAAAGATCATAATCATCCACCAGGAGATCTAAAAAGAAATCCAATGGAACGATCATTCATTAATACATTATGTGAACGAGCCCGAGATGACTTACACCTGGGTCTCAAGGATATTTATAATGAAGAAGTAGAGAGGTCAAAATAATAAAAATATTTCTTAAATAATATAGTAATGGTATTTTAAATAGTTATTACTCTTGTCTTGAATTTCAAATGAGATTCCAGCTTATTCTAATTTTCAGTTCATTTTTTAAAAAAAAACTTGAAATTTCATCACTACTGGAAATTAAAACCAGTTTTATGTATGAATCTATTTTATCTCTGCTACAGATAAAGACCTAAAATTTAATATTTATGCTTAGAATATGATTTTACTAAGACCATTTGCCAAATATTGCTCTTAGTAATTGTTACCAATTAATGGTGGTTGCCTATTATGTTTTTGGTAATATTGATTATTAAATATAATGAAATAACCTAATTATTTTTATGTATTTCTTAATTCTTGCTCTTGAATTAGTAATATTGTATTTTTAAGTCATTTTATTAAATTTAAAGAATATACATCATCTTATTTAGCACTATTGATGGAGTAATTTATGTTTGTTATTTGCTGTCTTCTTAAGTTGTTTGTGGAAATGTTCAATTAGTTATATTTTGTTTCAAGACCATACCAATTCACCTTTATGACATGAGATACAATTATTTGTGCCAGAATAGTCAAAATATTTGTTTAAAAAACTTTTATATTCTTGAGTTTTACTGATTTTAGCTGTATCACTACATATAAAAGCATTTTTATCGATTAATATTATATAAATAGGATAAAAAAACTAAATTAATAAATATTTATGTTTATAATTTTAATTATTTAATTTTTTATAAAAAATTAATTAATTATAGGTTTCTTGATGTAGCAGATAAAATACCTTATCGAATGGCATGGCGAAGTATGGCTAGAACACGACAACCTCCTAAATCCTCTGGTGAAGTTAAAGTAGTTCGTGTGTTAGTAGTTTCAGGACTATGGGAAGGATATACCCTTTATAGAGATGAAGTAGGATTTTTATATTCAATGAGGAAAGGAAGAAAGTAAGATTTAATCTTAAATATTATGATAATTTACATAATTATTAATTAATAAAATTGTGGCTTATAGATATGTATGGTGTCACATGAATACAAAATTAAAATGTTTAGTTAAAGGCTCAATTTCGAATGAAAATGATGTCTCAATGTTAGAATATACTGGGGAACACAATCATCCACCACTAGATGATGATGAGTTTCAAGCAGCAATTTTTATTGAAAAAATTATGCTCAGATGTTTAGAAAATGATAGTAAACCTAAAAAATTATATGAAGAAGAATTAATTAAGTAAGTTACTATCAGATACATTAACTATTAATAAATATTTTTTGTTAATTAATGCTTAAAATTATAAAATTAGTTACCCTGGTGTTGAAAACCGTGTATCATTAGCATATGCACGTGAAAAAATAAAAGCTAGAAGAAAAAGTTTATTAAAAAAACAATCAGCACATGAAAACATGGAATATTCCTGTGAACCATTACAATTTGTTGAGTTTTGGGATGATAACCACTATAGTAGTGTTAAAGATGAAGTGGATGATGAAGATGATTTTACAGAGGATATTATATACTCTGAAGATGAGGATTTTAATGAAAAGGATGATCCACATAGTGTTTATTCTGATGAACAAGGATTCAAGTATTCAGTTGTTAATGTAAAAAATAAAACTAGGTACAGTATTTAAAATAATATTTTTAAAATAAATAATAAATTAGTTATTAATAAAATTTAAAAGATTTCTAGAATGTATAAAAAAACAGAATGAATGCAAGGCTCAAGGTGAAATGTTCAGAAGTGAAAATGGTGATTGGCTATTTGTTCTTCATGATTATACCCATAATCATTCACCACATGAAGACTAGTAAAATGATGTATAAAAATATGAATACAAATTAATGGATGATATTTATATATTTGTTAACTAGATTTCTAACATATTATTATACTATAACATTAAATTTTAATTTTACAATAGATGATATTATTTACATTAAAGAGAATATGTAATATCTTGTTATCTTTTGTTTATATTTATGAAAAATAAAATTACATTTTACTTGTAACATTTAATTTGCAATTTATAAAAGAATACGTTTTTTTTTTGAATTTCTATTGAAGTTCTTCAAATGTTATTTAACTGCGTTAAAGTAATATGCTATTTTTATTCAACTTTTTTAGTACTTTAAATACTCTTTAATTTTTTTATATACGGGAAATTTTAATATTAATACTATAAATTATTACTATAAAAATGAGAGTTATAGATGAAATTGGAAATTCAATTAAACCAGTGAAGTAAATTCTTAAATAAATATCCACATATTTTTAATTATAAAGCCAAATATAATTAAAAAAGAAATTGATAACTTCTTTGTAATTTTATAATATTAATTATTGATGGGTACTACTTGATCGTTGATTTTACAAATTTTCAGTATATTAATGATTATTGTTTATATCGGTGTGTATACAAGCAATTAAACAATTCCGTGTAACTTTGAAATTTTGATGTATTTAATATATGTTTTAACCGCTCACTCTGAACTTATATTTAAATGTATTATAAACTAGAACTAGAATATGTTTTATAAAATCTATTTCGATTTTCGATTAAAACCATATAATAGCTGTTATTTCTGCATAATGCAAATTATGATGTATCGATAATATCGTAAAATGTCAAATGTGTTATTTTTCCAGTTGTCGACCGTGTAGTGGGCCGACCTGCAAGAAGACGATACAATACACCGTTGACGAATAAATACTTGAACGGTTCACGTCTGTGATGTAGAGTTGTTGGAAGGTGTTTAAATGACAAAACACGATGGTTTAAAGTTATACAGACATGTATAATAATGAATAAAATAAAATATATATAATATGTGGTTAATACAAATAAGATAGTAATTTATAATTGAAAGTGTGAGGACAGAGTATTTAAGCTCTGCCCGAGAATAATAAAGATTGACTCTCAGAGCTAGCGGCGATGTGAGGCGCGCGGGCTTTACGACCAGATGAGCGTCGGTGCAGTAAGCGGAGTAATTAGTTAACACTAGTTTAAATCATTTTACTATTCTAAATGTATGGGTAAATGGATACCGTATTTATAGGCAGCCATTTAGGATAAGAGTAAGGTCGATGTGGATTCTGACGGATGTGAACAAGGAAGCTTGTTTCTGTGATATTGAAAATAGGCTCTGCTCCGTGGGAACTGCATATCAATACATGATATAATGTTAGCGGATGTTAGCTACCAGATGGTTTACTATAACCGTCATGTGCACAATAGAAAGGGCCTAAAGTTCCCATACACTATTAGCTTTTATAACGCTGTACACTATAGTTCGTATACTGTACGCCCAAAGTTTGTGGGACGAAAACTACCGCTTTAAAAACCGTACACAGTGATGAGAAAAGTCTTAACAGTTTAATTTTTCTTCTGTATTGGTGTTTTTAATTACAAAACGGAAAGTGTGTGGCTGTCTCCATATTCAAACTAAACTGTATTAATTAAATATTGAACTATACTGTACACGATTACAAAAACCGATTGTGTATGGTGTTCTTCGGTATAGAAATAAAACTTTACAAACTATACCGTGCATTGTATTGTATAATTTGTATAGTCTTATAATAGAAGTTATACAACCAGGTTGCCGTGAAATTATTGTCATTATGTCATAATAATCTTCCACTAAGAGATCATCGTGACGATGAACTATAAGAAATTAACTCTGCTATGACTGGAGATCGAGAGATTTTTCGCAGCATATTAGCTTTACAATTAGATTCTGGAGATGGAATTTTACATGGACATTTAGAAAATTGTAAAAAAAAATAACAATGATTAGCAAAACTGTACAAAATGAAATAATTGAAGTTATTCATGAAGTTCTTATTAATAATATTGTAACTAATCTTAAAAAATCTATATATTTTGATATACTATGCGATGAAACAACCGATATTAATACTAAAGAACAAATAATATTTTCTGTCAAATAATGCCTAAATGTTATTATATATTGTGTAATTTTTTATACAAATTAAATTCCAACAACTTACGTTTATTTTTAAAATCTAGGTATGTGGACATGGAAAAATATGTAATTAAAGATTTTTTAGAGTTCACAGGCCTATCAATTAACAAGTTATATTGAAAAAATTAAATGATTTTGTATTAAGTTTGGCTAATCTGAGAAGCACCACGTTTGTTTAGATGTATTTTTAAAATTGTCACTTATGTTTATTCTTTTAAATATATAGCAAATTATTAGGACTAAAAAAAAGTCATGCCATCAGGATGTAGTATACAGAATACCTTAACCTAAGCACCCCCAATAAAAATATCCTAGATCCGTCCCTAGGTATATCCGATATGAATATATTGAATAAGATAGGTCCCAGTTTGGAACCTTAAGGTACGCCAGAAGGGATAAACCCGAGGTCAGAAAAATTGTCGATTATTTTAACTAAGAATTGTCGGTAAGAAATAACTTAAAGGGGCGGATCCAGAGGGGGGGCGAATGGGGCGATCGCCTATAATATTTATTATTTGGTGATATACTGATATCACAGTTATATACTACCATGATACAAAGGTACTATCGTGATGTTAAATATTCGTAACCAAGTTTTGTGTTTGTCGGTGTTTCCGATACATAGTAACTGATAACGACCAACGTAAAAAACGTTCGGTAACTCCATAATCAACTAATTTTTAATTATAAACTCTATTATTATGAGATATATTGCAATAACTAAAAAAATTATTATTATTACTATATATATTTTTTAAGACTTTATTTAAGTAAACAACCTATATCAAAATTAATATTTTTAATTTTATTTATATAAATATCTACATTATGTGTGTCCGTTAAAAAATCGCTCCCCCCGTTATCTCGGTCTGGATCCGCCCATGGACTTAATAATATTAAATAAGTACTTCGGTGTATTGAAAGATTTTAGTTTGTCTAAAAGACCTTCATGCTATACTTTGTCAAACACTTGTGAGAAATCTATAAATACAACACCAGTATGGCAATGTTTTTCGGGCGATTGTAAACTCCATCAGAATATCAGTTAAGATAAAAAGTTAATAAAAGGTCCAATGTAAACTCTCTTGTTCAATATCAAAATGTTAATAGAAATATCTTCAAAAATTATAGTTAAAAAAATTAAAACATTTTTTCTGCACCATTTAAAATACAGAAATAATTAATTTTACTATACACATGATATATATTCATTATGAACATAACACAATAAAATTTACGAATATGGTTTTTATGTCGATACAAAAAAAATTTGTTAAACATATTTAAATTTGATAGTTCACCAAATTAATTTATATCTTACCTATTATGGTCTATACTTATTTCCTACACACTATTATGTTCTGTAAATAATACAATTCATGAAGTAATCATAACTAACTTAAGTATGCATAAAGTTCTATTTGGGATGAAAAATACAGAGTAAAATCCTAAGTATAAGATAAAACATAATAACAATGTTGATTTTCATCCTTTTATTTTATATCTATTTAAAATCTGTATTAGAGTTCCGTTACCAATGAAATCACTTTTATATGACTTGAGAATTGCATATAGTTGCAATAACATTCCTTAAATCATTAAATAAATAAACACAAGAATGAGTACTATCAAATTTCTTATGAAAGATAAATATACTGTATAGCAGTAAATAATTTATAATATTACAGTACCTACCAATTTCCAAAAATTTCAAAATAATAATTTAAGAAACTAAGGTTTTAAAAAATAAAAATAAATAATTACAATATCAATAAGGCCTTATTAACTCTTTAATTTTTTTATATATATTTTACCTTACAATTAAATGAAAAATAATCACAGACATTTATAAAAATTGATTACATACTATACTTTAAATAATAAAAACTATTTTTTTTTAATATAGATTACAAATCAGATATTTACATTCTACACTTAATATTACATATACAAGGGTTTATTATTCAATAATGACAAAAAAAAAAAAAAATAAAATAAAATTAGAAGCAATAAAAATTTATAAGTTATATTTTACTAGATATGCAACAGTTTATTTATTTTCAAAGTTTTGGACAACCAAATACATACAATTAAAAAAAAAAAAAATATGAATTAATTTTTTTTTTGGTAAATAAAATAGTAGGAACCTATTATATAAATGAATATTTTTATGTGTTTAAATGTATGTATAATTAAAATAATCATATAAAACCATTCTTTTAGTTATTTTCCAGTTAAACAGAATACAGTTGGTAAACTAATTTATAATAATTACATATGTAATTATGAAATAAAATAACAAACACATGAAATATGTAAAGAAATTGTATACAAAAAAATAATAACAAAACATATATGAGCAACAGCGGATCATTTAAAGTCGTCACAAGTTGACTGCCATCCAAGTTGAATATGATTTTATTTTGTGTCCATAAAAATAAAATGTCGCTGCTGGTGTTTTGTAGAAAACTGTTTTCAATACCTACATCTGTGACAACATATAAAAATTCAAATTTCGGTTAAAAATCGACACTGTTCTGATTACTTAAATCTCTACGTTACAAATTTTGTATCGATATAACAATCAAGCAACGGAGTAAACAAACATAAAATAATAATAAATAACATAGTTTTATAAATAAATGTCCGTTTTACAAAAAAAAAAAAAAAATTAATAAATAAATAAATAAAAAATAAATACATAATTTATAAGCCCTTTTAGTTATTATATATAATTATAATTGTCAATAATATATAAGGCTTATATAGAAGTTTTAAATTAATAAAATAATAAAATTAAGCTTATAAAAAATAATCCATATCTTAAAATTGAAAATATCAATCAATACATATTTCATATAACCCAAACAAATATAATTTTAAAGGCATAAAATAATAAAAACAATTATATATTTTAAATAATCACAATAAATAGATTATTATATTAGTCAATAAGTCAAATAGTCATAATTCATTACTAATATTAAATATGATTTTAACATTAGTAAAAATGATCATGTCCATTGTCCAATAAATAATAAATACTGATAAAATTATTTTCCCAAAAAAAGCTTAAAACGACAAATCAATTGCAAACTAAAAAGATTAATAATTTTAAAACAAGTATTTGATGTTGAACAATTACAATTTTTAAACATCGGTATATAAATTTTTTTGTAAAATGGACATAATTACATTATTTATACACAAAAATGTAATTATCAATTATATACAGTTTTTTTGGTTCTTAATAGATAATTATTTCATATATATATATATATATATATAAAACATTTTATAAAATAATTTAATACTGGCATAATATTAGTACATTAAATAAAAGTATAAACCAATTATATATAACTAAAATATCACATACAATCAGAGTAAAATTATATTATATTTTTATATTGTTGAGTATTTTTTATCAGTATTGATATAAAATATCTAAACTATTTATTATGTATTATTATATTTATTCAGTAGTTAAGCGTTTTTAAAGATAATAACAAATTAATTTAATAAAATTAATCAATTATTGTCTATTTTGATTCTATGGACAGACGGTATTAAATCAATTTTATTTTATTGAAGAATGCTAATATTTTGATTAATCCAAAATTCATTACAACTCATATGAATAATTTACTAATAATATGTTCATTAATGTATAGAAAAGATAATAAATATAGGTAACAATGACATTACGTAATCTGAATTTGAAAAATTCACTATGGTCTTTATAACTATTTTTGACATTGGCTTTATAAAAATGCCACAATGGAAAATAAAACATTTAAAAATGTAATTCATAATTTTTCCAGCCTTTAATAATGTCACACTAAAAAGGCCGCAGCAACTGACTTGATATTTGTAAACATTGCCAATATGATCGTTTATAGGTTCAATTTCAGTTTTTTTTTACACATAAACAACTTTAGTTGAAGAAAAATATTATAATGCCAACTGCCCATACTTTAGGTTGCAAATGAACATAGAATATTAATTATTAATGCTGTATAATAACCACCAATAGAGTATCAATAGTGAATCAATTAGGTAGCTAGAAAATATCAAGTTTTTGTATTATAAGATTTTGTTTTCTTAACTCTAAAAAATAACTTATATTTAAGAATAAACGAACAAAGAAAATAATGGAAAAAGTTGTTTAAGTTTCTCTAAATTAATATGAATACAATTTCATTATGTTCCTTCACATGAATAAAGAACTATGTCCATGATAAGCTAACATGGCAGAAAATGTAACACAATCAGAGGAATAAGTTTTTTTGAATGCATTCTTTCCAAATACAATTTTATTTAAATGTCATTTATAAATTTAATGAACAATAAAAACACAAAAGTTAAATTGTTTTTAATGTAAGTACATATAATAATAATATATTTTTGCCCTTAGGTTATACATTTTTAATTTATATATTAATTGTACTATGGTGATTTTTTTTTTTTTTTATTTAAAATAAGAATACAACCATGTGTAATCCCTTTTTATAATAATAATAATAATAATAATGTACTAATTTAATGAAAATAATTAATACTTAATACTATAAAAATGAGGATTATAGATAAAATTGGAAATTCAATTAAACCAGGGAAGTAAATTTTATAATAAATATGCAATATTGAAATTGCAATATTAATTTTATTAATAAAAATAATAATTTTGATTTAAAAAATAGTAATAAAAAATGATTTCTATAGTTAAATATTTTAATTTTGAAATTTAATTTTAAACTTTTGTATATCTTTATTAAATAAAATATTCACTCCGATCCATTACATTTATTTTTTAAAGTTTAGATTATAGTTATCTTATTTTATATAAATCATGTATGTTTGCTAAGAATAATATTAATTAAAAATAATGTACAGCAATATAAGTTTTAGGGACTAGAATTGTTGACTAGAAATCAAATTAATTGTAATAAATTAAATTTATTGTTATCATTTATATCATAGAATATTTTAATTATTTTGATATGTTTTTTAAAAATAACTATTATAAAATTTTTATAATATGATATAGTATGAAATTACAATAAAACAAATAAAAAACAATTTTTCAACGTGCATGAAGTTTTGGTACTAAAAAATATGATAAAAAATATATTTTAGTGTAAAAAAAGGGAAATAATTTTAAATATGTTTATATTTGAGTATAAATGTTGGTTATTTAAATTATGAAAAAGTTAGGAAATAAAATATAAAAATATTTAATCTGATATATTAAAAATTAACTTTGTTATCAAATTAAAATTTTGAAAGAAAATCATAATTTAAAGTTTAATCAAGTAACATAATTATCTAGTAACATTATTTTATATAAACATAAATATATAACATTTATTTCTTAGAATTTGTAAAATCTTATATTTTTTAACAAAATCATAAAAATTATAGTTATATAATAATTTACTAATCTTTCTGATGAAATGAACCATCCATTTCAATTGTTAATTACTTATTAAACTAGTTTTTATGAGCATTTTTGAAAATAATAATACACTTCCATAATAAGTACAATAAAATAAGGAATAAGAATAATAGAAATTAATTAAATAAGAATATGCCACATCAGCATCTGTTGCTCAGAGTCTGACAAATGCATAACATAACTAGGGTGACCAGAAGTCCCATTTAAAATGGGATTGTCTTTTTTTTGATCATCATGTCCCATTGTCCCCACAAACTTCAAATGGGACGCTTTTTTTCCTGTTTTTAGAAGATTGTCCCATTTTAATCCCGTTATTTCCATATTATTTATTATATCATGTATTACAAAGTCAAAACCCTTAGATCGATAATAATTACCAAACAACACTTTAAAAACTTAACTTTTTCACAATTTTATGAATTTCTTCTGAAACAATCAAAATTGTTAAATTCAATAAGTTTTTCTGAAAGTACAAGAAAACAGTGGAGTGTGTAGAAGGCTTACAAAATTCATAAATAATGGAAATTGCTGATAGTGTATAATTTTCCCCATTCTTGTTAAAAAAAATGCAAGTTATTATATGTAACTATATGTATGTATTATATGTAATTATATGTAGTCATTATATTATTTAATACTTTAATTGTAATATTAAAAATTAATTTTTTTTAATTGTTTAAAAAATTATAATAGTTTTGAAATGTTACATTGTGTTGTTTGTTTAATAATTAAAAGAAAATAATTGTTTATGATATGACAGATTTGGACTTTAACTCTCGAGATTTATGTGTGCATGTGTGAAGTATGTGAATGAGGGTTTTTTTTTGTTGGAGGGGAAGTAACAGCTGTACCGTTTTTTATTTTCTTAATATGGTCACCCTAAACATTATTAATCTGATATCAGTAGTAGACTAAGCTTAGATATTAAAATAAAAAATGACTGTCATTAATATATCTGATATAATAATATTTTTATTAATTTGTCATAATCTACATTTGGGGTACTGACAGCAAGACTACCAGCTAAACTAGTATTTATGTATTTATAAAAATCCGGACTTAACCTGTCTAAAATTAATTAGAGATATTTACTCCTTGGAGCATTGAAAAGATATGATTTGCATAAATTAAATATTACAAATTAAAAAAGTTCATAAACTATTTAAAAATTAAAATTACATAAAAAACATTAAAAACATATTTGGGTGTGGCATCCCTTCAATAACTAAAGCTTCATAATCAAAATTTATTATGTAAGTATTAGAATTCTTAAATATTTAAAAATATAGAGTTTAAGTTATGTCTTAGAATTTTAACACAGTGATTACATTTTTTAGTCTATATGTATAAAAAATAAACATTTATACTCAACAAGTAAACAAATTTATCTTAGAACTTTCAGTAATTTAAAAAAAACAACTAACTCTTTCTTATAAATTAATGAGTTATACTAATGAATTTTCATTAAAAAAGAAATAACATTTTTAATATTCATAACTAAATAAATGTGGTGTTCTCACAAATAATAAAAATAAAAATTATCAAAATTCTAATCTATCCAATATATGCATAATTTTTGATTGAAACAACTTATGTTTGTCACGAATTATAATATATATAAAATATATTAAAGAATAGAAAATAACATATGTCTAAGGTTTATGAATACGAATAAAAATAAATAATCAATAAGTAACAATATTACAAAAAATAAATTGTAGTTTTATCAGTTTGTTATGATTTAAAACTAAACTACAGTAAAGACAAATTTTGAAGGACAAAAATATTGTATGAATTTGGAATAATATGGTAGGCATATAAGTTGACCAATAAGAAAAAATGCATGTGATTAGGACATCAAATACCTGATCGAAATCTGTAACATTAATGTTACGCTTTTTGATCTTCTTAAATCCTTTTTGAATTGTGTTACCACTATTAACAACTTTTCTCGAATGCAAAGGAACTTTTTTTAATTTGGCTTTTTGTTTTTTGACATTTGTATAAGATTCTTCTTCACTGTCATAAACTTCTTGACCTAAATAAACACAAATAAAAATAAACATTATATAAACTATTTTTCTTCAAATTATGTTTAAATGAATACATTAGTTTAACCTGCTCTAAGTTAATATATTAAATAAATTAAGAAAGCATAAAAAAATTAGATGGAAAACATAAAGAATTTAAAAATGAAAGACTGTTAAAATAAATAATTTCAGTTGATAAATTGTATATAAGAAAAAATTTACCTTCTGGAAGTAAAATACTTAAGTCACTTCTAGTCTTAGAATCTCTATTCATCACAATAACTCTTCGGCCATCTAAATTTCCTAAAAATGTTTTTTACTATAGTATTAAATAAAATGTATTTAAAATTACTGAAATACTAACATAAGATTCATAAATTTACAATAATACTTATATATACATAGTTATTATTTTTTTTATTTAAACAAGCTATATTTCACAAAATATGAATACTATGGTTCAATTTAAAAAATTAGCCTGTATCAAATATTTATAAAAAATAAATCTTATGAAGATTGAAATATATATTTTCTAAATTAATAAAAAAATGTATGTATACCTTCGGTTTTAATACTTATTTCTGGAATTTTAGAATGTTTTTTTCTCTTCACTTCATTTGAACCGCTGAAAAATATTAATTACGTATTATTATATTAGTTAAACACTATAAAAACTTGAAAGATTAGTAAAATTAACCATAAGTTTAAAAATATGTTGTAGAATAATATTATAGTATTTATTTGTATACATATATATATATATATATACAACTAGTTTGGAACGTTAAGTTATAATTGTTGACACTAACTGAATATTGTAGTCAGTAATTATTAATACTACACTTCTACAATATATTAATTTAATATATATATATATATAATAAAATAAAATAAACGCCTTAATTTATTTATTTTTAATTTCAATTTAATTTTATCAATTAATTCATAGTAAAATAAATAAATAAATAAATAAATAAATAAATAAATAAATATATATATATATATATACACTCGGTTAAAAAAGTTTCCATGCATTACATTTTAATTTATAAAATTATTTCAATAAATATTAAATTAAACATCAGCATTTTTATTTATCAATCAAAAAATTCCATTCTTAAACAATCATTTATTTAATTTTTATGGCAAATATAGATAAAAATATTTGTGAGAGATATATTCAGTTGAAAACCCATATAATTCAATTATTTTCGCCAAAAAAGTTTCCATTCACTAATTTTTTTTCCCTGTTAATGTACTCGTTGTTATGAAGTCTAATAAATCAATTTATTGTGATCTTTCATATTTGTATACATTAAATATTTTTTTTACTACGTTAATCATACATTAATTTTTTATTTACTACGACATATGTTAACCATGGAAGTACCTACTGAAGTCTGTGCATTAATTATTCGACTAAAAGAAGGACAATCTTTTCGAAAAATTGTAAGCAAATCATACGCGCCAATTCAATATATTATTAACTGACAAAAATAAATTAAAACATAGAGCAATAGGCCTCGTTCAGGTCGTCCTAGAAAATTAGACTCAAACCAATGGCGGGCAATTCTAAGAACAATATTAAAAAATATGTACTCCTAGACAGAAACCATTTATAAGTTTATAAGTGCATTTAGCAAAAGGAAACGTTTAGATTTTTCAAAAGCTCATATTGATAAGTCTATAAGTTTTTGGAACTCAGTAAATTTTTCCAATGAACCAAAATTTAATGTATTTTCATCCGATGGTAGAGTATGAAAAAAACAAAATGAATAATTAAAAAAACAGAACTTGTGTAAAACTGTTGAACATGAGTTTGGAATGATAATTTATCTTTCAACAAGATAATGATCTGAAACACACAGCAAAACGTTTTAAAGAATAGTTGATACATAATGTTCCTAAACAAATTCATACACCACCACAGTCACCTGATATAAACCCAATCGAACATCTATAGGATAAAATAGGAAGAAAAATTAAAACACATAATTTACGAAATAAGCAGCAGTTGAAAAATGCAATTTTAAAAGAATGGATTGCAATGAACCCAGAAATCACTAAAACAATTAGTAAATAGTATAAAAAATCGTTTGATCTATATTATTAAAGCAAAAGGTGGGCCTACACATTTTTAATTAAAGAATTTAAAATAATCTAATTAATAAATTATATTAAAAGTATATGGAAACTTTTTGGTGGATTATTTTTCTCAATATTTCTAATTTTTAATTTTAATGAGTTACATGTTAATTAAAAAATAGTTTATTTTATTGAAAAAAAAAATTATGTATGATAAATTAATTTTTGGTACGATTACCAACCCTTAATATTTTGGATCTTTCAAAATATTTATAAAAACTTTTTTTTAAAAGATGAATTCGGAAACTTTTTTGACTAAGTATATGATAGAAATTAATATATTTATTAAAGCTGATATGGCACTTTCATGTAAATGGTACAACTTGATCATAATTTAGAAATAAAAAATAGTTATCGATTCCCGAAGTGTATTTTATATATTATTTTTTTATAATTTTGCTATTTACATACATATAATAATTTACTTAAAACAATAACCTTCTTGATAATATGATACCCTTAAAAGTTTTAGCTATGTAATTTATTAGTTTTATTATATAATTTCACAATTGAAACTAAATTAGACACTCACACAACATAGTTATTAGAATAAAATATCAATAATAGGGAGAAAAGTATTTATATTTTCAGCTTAACCTAATAATTTATTGAAAATATTTTATTTTCAGTAACTCTTAATTGATAATTTTTTATTTTTCAATTAAGTTCATAACAATTGAAAGACATTTATTAAAATAAAAGTTGTTATTAATAAATAAGGCAGAGAATTTGTAGCATTTGCATATTTGTTTTGCACAATCACAAAAATGGCAGAGTACGAAACAAATATGTTTCATACTTTAATGAAACTAGATTTGAAATTTTATTTTACATATAAATGCATACTTTGAGTAATTTTTTGTTTTTCAAGCATATTTAATACTTATATACACCATTTTATACTCTTTGAAAAATATTTAACTTAAATCAATTTTTTTCACACCATTGTTTTTATTACAAATAGTAGACTAAAAAAAAGTTTGTATAAAAATGCATTTATTTTTAATTTTTATCGTAAAATATGATTTTTGACTGTTAGTACACGTTTTTTCTAAAAATGCTTACGGATTGCCAATAAGACAATAATATTAATTTGCTGTAATTAATTTTATTAATAGATAGATGATAGTTTCTGATACTACAACATCAATGTGAGCTGAATGCATATTTAATTAAGAAAATTGAAAAAAATTAATTTTAATTACTTGGCAATGGCATAAAATCTATTGATATTAGATAATTATTTTAATTTAATTTAAATACTTTTAATTGTATAAATACTTTGAAATGAAATCGCCAAAAAAATTTTTTAGTGCATAATTTGAGAGCATATTACAGGGTTTTTAAATGCATAAGTGCTTTCATATTTTTTTGATTTTTTAGACCTATGTCTTGTCCTATTAATAAACTATATCAAGGAAAAAAAAATTATAATCAAATCATTGATATAATATTATTATACCTTTTTTATAAAAACAGATATTATAAACTCACTAGTTTTTTATATCTTAATTAATTTTTTAAAATTAAATTTTCTTTAAATATATATTTCATTTTTAAAATGTATTATATTTGGAAATTCATAAAATTAACTAGTTATTTGAAAGTAACAAATAGATAAATTTTCAAATGTAAAGTTTTTCTAAATTAATTTAAAAAAGTATATTTTAATATTAAAAAAATAAATAAATAAAAAATAAAAAAAATTGTTAAAAATTACACTAAATATAAAATGATTAAATGTAAAGATTTAATTTATTTTAAATTTATAATTATTGTAACTTAAGTTTGTAAATATTACCTTGATCCTACAACACCTCTAATTGCAGACTGTAATAAACGGGCAGGATAAAATGATTCTGGTTTTTTCTTAACTTCTACTTGAATCTAAAATTTTAATGAAAAAATTAAATGTTTTTGAAACATTAATTTATGTAAATCAAATAGGATAGTTTGAATTTTACCGTATTTAAACGAAGGGCCCTCCTTCTTTTTAACTCTGTTCTTAGATCAACAAGATCATTATGTTGTATAGTGACTTTTTTATCATCTATTTGCTGCCTTTCTTGAATTCCTTCATCTTCTTCATCTTCGTCTTCATCTTCTTCTTCAATATATTCTTCATCACCATCACTAGATTTTTGTCCAGCTTCTTTTTCACTTCCATCTTCCTCATTCTCTTCAGACATCTCTTCTACTGATGATTCAGATTCTTCTCCAGATGCACTAGATACTTCTAAAGTTTCAGATTCTACTACCATTGTTTTATTTTTTTTTTCTTTATGACAATTTAATCTACCCTCTAAAAATAAAAAATTAATACAATATTACCAAAAATAATAATATAAATATTAGACATAATTAATATTAACAAAAATATGTATACAAACCTTGATCAATGAGCAAATCATTAGTATCATCATGTCCAAACACAATTCTTGGTCTTTTTTTGTCTTTTATTTTCTCTGGAGAATTATTTAATTTAACAGTTCTTTGTAATTTTATTACTTCTAAATCCTTTTTCATCTCATTGCTTATGCTTTTAGGAATTGGAAAGGATTGTGAAATTTTATTTGATTTTTTTGTTAATTGCATAGTTTTTGGTTTTATTTCAGGTTCATTCTTTTTATTTTGCATTTCTTTATTTTCAGTCTGAATTGCTACTTGAACTGAATTAGTTTTCCTTAAAATAATTTTTTTGCTTGAAGGTTCAACCAACTTGTTGGACTCAAATTTTCTTTTTCTTGCTTCTAAAACAGGATCTATTGACCTCGATTCTATTTGTTTATCCACAGGTTTGATTTTTTCTTTTTTCTTCAAATATTCATCATCTAAGATTTTATTATCTTTACGGCGAATATTAGGAGATACAGGTCTTGATTTAATTACTTTCTTTAATGGACTAGGTGATCTTCTTCTAACAGCAGTTCTAATTTTAGGTGATCTTGACTTTGATTTAATCTTAAGAGGAGACCTACTTCTTCTCCTTAATGGAGACAGTCGTCTTCTTTTTGGCGAAATATCTCGTGATAGAGATCTGCGACTTCTCCTTGGAGATGGTGAACGATAGGGATATCGGGACTTAAGAGGAGAGTATCTTCTCGGAGAAAGATTTTTTTCCCTTAAAGGTGATAATCTTCTGGGCGATCTTCTGGGTGATATGGATCTACGGTAGGGCCTTGAACGTAATGGTGAATATCTATATCTATCAGGAGTAGGAGATCTTCTTCGTGGAGATCTTGATGGTGATCTTTTTCGAAGTTTACTGTAAGGAGATATTGACTTCTTTCTATTACGTGGTGATGGCGATTTTAAGGGAACACGAGAATTTAATAGAATGCATTGTGCTGGAGAGTTTCTTATTTCCTCTAAAGTTTTAATTGATTCTAATTCTTCTTCAGGTGGATTAACTAGAGGTGCTAAATTGTTAACAACCTTAGGTGGATTTATAACAGTTGGTTCATCAACTTTCACAGTTAATTTATTTTTTATTTTCAACTCTGTACTTTTTTCTTTTTTATTTTTATTATTTTGTTTTATACTTTTCTTAACTTTTTTTGATGGTTTAACATCTTCACCATTAATTTCAGCTTCCATAATATCCATTAATTTGTCAAGATCGTCCAGATCTTCATCTTTTTCCCCTAGGGATAAGACATCACCATCATCTGATTCTTCTTGTCCATCTCTTTCTGTTTCACTGTCTTCACTTTCTTCAGAACCAGAATCATTATCTAATCGGCTGAATTTAGTAGAAACTAAAAAAATAAACAATAACAAATAATGATGTTTCTTTCTTTTGAATAAAATATAAAAAAAAAAATGATGTAACAAACCAAGAAAATATAATAAAACTTATTTACATAATACATATTCTTAAAATAAAATACATTTTTAATCTATTCAGTTAAGTAAGTAGTTATTTGAGGGATTTACATTGAAATAGAAAATTGTACCTTATAAAATAATTAGTAAAACCTAAATATTCAAACTGCTTTGATTGACCATTATGGTAATTATAGTAACAAGTAAGCAACAATTTAAATAATGTTTAGCATGTTTTTAAATACTTGCACATGGAGAAGTATTATATTATTCATAAATATTCAATAAAATATATGAATATTGCTTACATGCAGAATTACATCTATAAGAGAGCATGTTAAATTTATTATACTATACAATAGTTTTTAACTTTTATTCAAATTACAGTATTCATATAACAATATGTATAGGTATATTTCTTCCCTTAGGAGAACACCTTGTGTTACGGATTTAGCAACCCCGAGGACTCTTATTGGTAGAAAACTCCTAGCGAGTGATTCCAGTAAGTAATTCCTAATGTAGGGCAGCAGCTACATTAATATTATACTAAGGTGGAGATAAGGATGTCAGAAAGGCTTAGATATGAATAAATGAAAAGGAAACTGAATACAGTATGTGCTCTCATTCAAGGAAGGCAACGAAAAACCACTATATTATTTTTTTCAAGTATAAATCTATCATGCCAAAGAAAATTATAACCACGGCCCTCGCTCCCCGGCAGACCTTAAATGGTCAGAGAAGTGCTTAGAATCTCCAGCTCAGCTCTGAAGATTGCAACTTGGAATGTGAGGAGTTTGGTTGAAGATGGAAAGTTGGAGAACACTGTGAAAGAAATAGAGAGAATGAAACTCAACATTTTTGAAGTGAGTGTTACAGTGAGAGCCAAGTAATTTGCTAACAAGAAATGGTGAACAAAAAGTAAATCATTCAAGCAACAGTGAATTAAGGCGTCGCTATGATGTAGCTATCATAATGGATAAATCTGCAACTGGATTTTTGCCTATATCAGAAAGGGTTATGATGTTTAATATTGCTTGTAATAAAGAGACTATTAATCTGATACAAGTTTATACTTCAACCACAGATAACTACTACGCAGATACTAGGAAAAATAAAGTTAGCATTATAAGGGAAAATTATGATAGTATAACAGATACAAAAATAAAGATTAGAAGATTAATAGAATATGTACAAGAACTATATCTCTCAAAATAGGCTAGAACAAAGTAGCATAAAAATGGATAAAGGATTCGATAGAATGAAAGAAGTAACAAATATACAAAAGAGTGCCAAGCCAAGAAAAGCAGCAAGCTCTGATGAAGTACCTTCCGAAATGTTAAAATTGCTTGATGATAATAACAGATATGTTAGTTGATTTATTCAAAACAACTTATGCATGAGGAAATATTCAGGACAAATGACAATTTTATTACATTGCTCAAGAAAAATAATCCCAAAGAAAGTTCAGATTATCGAACAATAGCCCTAATGCGCTATAACTTGAAATTATTTTTAAAGATCATACATCAAAGAATATATGCTAAATTAGAGATTGGCATAAGTACAATGTAGTTAGGATTTAAATAAGAAATGGAGATCAGAGGCATTATTCGGTATAAATACCCTTATGTAAAGGTGATTAGATGTCAATAGAAGTATTTTTGCTTGTTATATAGATTTTACCAAAGCATCCAATAACGTACATGAAAAATTAATAAAAATATTAAAGGATAAATATATTGACAGCCGTGATATAAGAATAATTTCAAATCTCTATTGGAATCAAACCACCAAAATTAAAGTGGACGATGATTTCCTAGACAAAATAAAAATAAAAAAAGAAATAAGACAAGGTTGTGTTACATATCTTGGGTTGACAAAGTGACAAATTCAGAAGTTTTAAGAAGAATAGGTAAAAAACTAGAGATGATGAAGATTATAAAATGTAGGAAGTTGCAATACTTTGGACATGCTTAGAGGTGAAAAATATCAGCTCTTGCAGCCCATAATACAAGGAGAGATTTGCGGGAAGAAGAGCAGGGGAAGACCTAAAATGAGCTGGCTGGAGTTGTTCCAATGCAACACCAAGGAACTATTTAGTGCAGTCAAGAACAAAGAACATATAACCATGATGATTTTTAACCTTTAATAGAAGAGGAACATGAAGAAGAAGACAAATAAAATTAAATAATATACGAAAAATTTCAATTTTAAAAAATAAAAAACAATTAAAAGATTTTAAGTATTAAATTAAACTAAATTTCAAATGTAAGTAAATATATTATTTGTTGTGAAAGTGTAGGTAATATATATTTACATTCATTAAAATAAATACTAACAGTTTAGGAATTAACAATAATTATCTTATTTTTATATTTTAAATGGCAATTTAGACCATTGGATATGATAGTCTTTTGGTTAGTAAATAATTAATGGTTTTTCGTGGGGGCATGACTGTGTCTCTAAAATCCCATGGGGTCATATGGTCTGGCATCTAAAGATGTTGGATAGTATGTAAACAAAGGGTCAATTGAAAATTGTTGTTAATTATTGTGCCACATCATAATTTAGGCTGTCATTGGTTTTATAAATAAGTAAATGTTTGCATACATTTTACATTCTAAATGATTATATATACTTTAAAATTTAATGGAAATATAATACTATATATCTAATTTAAATTACCTTCATCATTCAAATTATGAACATCATTTGTCTTTGTTCCATCATTAGTTAATATTTTAGAATTAGTAGGTTTAGGTGAATTGTTTGATACCAAATCATTGGCATGGGGATCACTTTCACCATCAGTTGGTATAATAGCAATTAAATTATTATTTGCATGAGAAGATCTTCGAAAAGTAAGCTGAAAAATAGAGTAATTAATAATCATATTTAAAAATAGTACATCTAAAATGCTATTAGTTGTAACTTACATTTGGATATGTACGTTTATTATAGGGTCTATTTGATACAGGAAACCGTCCTCTATTTCTTGAAGAGTTATTGAAAGAATTGCCAGTGGCAAATTTATTCTGACAAAATTCTGCAGATGTACTGCTTATTGTATTTATTGGCACATTGGATTTTCTCTTAAAAGACATAAGAGCAGCTAGACGTAATTTTTCAACATCATCGTCATCAATACTCTAAATAATAAATTGTATTTAAATGATTATAAAATAAAAAGATGAATAATTGAATAGGATCTAAAAACAGATATAAGTGTTACATTATGACTAGAGCTCGGAAGTTGTAGGAGATGCATATTTTTCTGTACACTTTCAATTTATAGCAGACCAAGCTAGAAATCCGTTCCATACAAAAACGAGTTTAAATATAACAATCAAAAATGCATTTTTTAGCATATTTTGGCAATTTTAGAAAAAAATGTATGTTTCTTAATATTCATATACTTTTTATGTATACTTCTTAATTTGTATGAGATTTATATACCCGTGTAATATTTTCTAAAAAATTTGAAGTTTTCTTTCATTTTATTTTCAATTATTTAACATACTAGTCACCATACCTTACCGTCGTTATATCAATTTAATTTAACGGAATGTATTTGTTTTTATAGCACTAAGGTGAGCACTATATAATATTATCGACGTTATAGTTAATCTAATAGCAATATGGCAAGTGTATTATTAATACTAACGTTATATACAACTATACATTAATCATAACTTCATCGGATTTTGAAGTTTTAGCGCTACAAAAATATACTTTCAGACAATCGTTGTTCATTTGATATGGAAAATATAAAGAAAGTTCTGATTGTTCAATGCGATACGTTTACAGGTATGACAGTTACAATAATCTATAGGTATGTTTATTGAATTAATAAAAAATAAATATAATTTTTCAAATAACTATCATTCTGTTTTTTTTTTTATATTGAAAATATTACAATTCATAAAAATCACCCAAAAAATTTTGAATTTAATAGAAACATAAAAAAATGTTTATATATTAAATTTTTTTTTTTACATACTTAACTTTTTTTCATGCATATTTTACAATTTTTACGTGAATATTTTGCCTTTTTTAACTTCTATAATTTCCGAGCCTTAATTATGACTAACAAATAAAAATACTCATGTTTTATTCCTACTAGCAACTATGTTCATATAATATGGGAAATTTGTAGACCGTGTATTATTATATTGTTATGCTATGATAAAGTGAAATAGTCTTTCAATACACAATAAAAAATATATATAAACAACAGGATGAAATATGGAACAACTTACAAATGTACACAGGAGAAATATTGTCAACAATGTAAAAAAATAACTAATGTTTCTGTATCTCTTAAGTTCATATAAAATAAAAAGCTCTAATATAAATTTAGAACCAATTATGTCAACAAAAACAAGCTTAAGACAACAATTATTAACACATTGACTGCCATACGACCGCTGGCAGACATGTTGTTTTTCTCACTAAGCTACGCTATAATTTTGATGTTATTCCTTGAATGTACAAAGGTAAATTTATAGAACAATAATCGGAAAAGAAAAATATTTGAAAGTATGAAAAATCTTTATAAGGTAAACAATATATCGATCGATTCAAAATTTTCTTTTTTCCGCCACCATCAAAATATAATCATTATTAGTTTAACGTCACATAAAATACTTGGATATAAAAATAAATGTTAAAATGAGCACTCACAGTTATATAGCGTATAAATAAAAAAAAAGTGCAAAATATAGCATATAGCGTAAATATAACAACATAAATCCAAATAAAGCTGAATTTATGCAATGTTATTATTGCCAGCGCAGATAAAATAATTGTACTGTTATAAAGATATAACATAAGATATATAAAGATACCAAGAACAAAATAATGGATGCTATAGGAATATTATTAAGATTCCATCTGCCAAATGGACTTGTTATCATGAAAATGAACTACATACTTGGTTACTATTATATGTTATGAATAGAACCTATAACTTCTTTTAAGAAAATGAAAAATTTAAATTACCATGAAACTAATATCCAATATTGAAATTATCATGCACAATAAAATATGATAAAGAATGAATGTTATAATTTGCCACGGACAAAGTGGCTAAGTAACTAAGTACTTAAGTCTAATATGTTATCAAAAGCTATGAAGAAAAACTACAGAACTATAGTACTATAAAAATATTTGATTACAATAACATTTAAGAACTCTAAACATTGTAATATATTAAAGACACTATAATTTATCTAGCAATAATGAAAAAAATACAATGAACTAAAAAAATTACCTTTTGAATAAATTTATTTTATATAATCAAAAGCTTACAAAAATATTTGTTAATAATGGAAAAATTTTAAATATTCTATATAAATATACCAATGGGTATTATTATACATATATGTCTCGATTTACAAATATATATACTGTATTTTCAACAAGTTTTACATACAATAAATATTTTAATACTTCTAAAATAGACTTAAAATTTGTATGACAAAATAATTGCATTCCTTATTTAAATATAATCAGTACCTATTATTGTGACCTGTATAATATTATATTATAATCAATACTTACATTGTAATCCATTTTGCTTTAATCAATCCACTTAAATCAATCGTGGAAAATAAGATTAACGTACAAATGTGGACAATAATCTTAATGAACAAATAAATATACATAAATGGGAAACTAAATCAATCAAAAAATATTGCTAGAATATTTATCTAAACCGTGAAATACAAAAAAAGAAGAATAGGTACCCAAGAGAAAATTAAATGGTTAGAACAGTATTTATTTTTTAATGTAGTAAAAGCCAATACCTTTGCAAACGTGCAATGGGCAATGAACAAAATACAGAAAACCAAAACAAAAACAAAACAGATGATTCAAAGAAATAAAAAAACCTCCAGTGTAACCAACAATGTCACCTTAGGAATTTACCAACCTTAGATCATATACTAGTATACTATATACCATAGTATGATCTAAGTCAGTGGTTTTCTACCTTTTTCGAATTGCGGATTTTTTATTTTTTTATAATGCGACCCCTTAAAAAACAAAAATGTTGTTATATTCATCAATTTGATTCAAATTTATTTAATTACCAATAAAATATTTACGTGATAAATAATTTTGATTAATTTACACTTAAAAATTTCACAAAATAAATTATTTACTTTGTTTTTTTTATATAATATGAAAAAATCATTTCATCCATTATTATTGGCGACCTCCTAACCTATGATTAACGACCCCCAACTTGCAACAGCACTAAAAAAATTTTTATATCCCCCTTCTCAAGAAAATCCTATATACGCCCCTGATAAGAATCCACTGCTTTATAAAATAATTTAATAGTGTAGCCATTATATCAGTTAGGATTAATACGTATTATAATTATTATATTATGGTAATCTTGATTTGGTTAAATATTATTAAATAGTGTGTCGCATAGAGTTAACTCTATGGTATATCGTGACTCATGGATAAAGTATAAATGTTAAATATTTTTCTCTTATCAAATTATTACAACCAATCATAGAGTAGGATGTTAATATGGTTTAATAAATGTTTTTCTCCTCAACTTTCAATTTAAGCGGTCTATAAAAGAAGTAGTTGTGTGAATTCTGATAATAATAGTTGTTAAATACTAAGCACTTAGTTGTAATTGTAAGTAGATACAAGTATTGATCAAAAACCTAACTAGTTAATATTTTATTATTGAACGAACAAATCAATATGAATAAAGCGGTATGTATTTGTATAATTTTATATGTGAATAATACTTTAAATTTATTTATAGTAATAGTATAGAAATGTTATCTGTAAAATCTTAATTAGGGAATTTTTAAAATTGAATTAATTTTTAATGAATGTTACATTTAATTCAAATTTTATCATTTAATTATCTTTTAGTGATACGTGATTTTCCAATTTCCTGTGTAATATATACAATTTATGATTTTATGATTGCAGTTCATAGTAAGTGGGTGATGTGAAGTTGATAACTTAAATATTTAGCAATATTTTTACAAAAGGATGGGGGTTTTGAAATAGATGTAAATTATAGGATTATGTGTGGTTGAATGAAATGGAGGGAAGCGTTGGGCTTTTTATGCGATAAGAGAATTCAAATGAGACTGAAAGGTAAATTTTACAGGTTAGTTACAGGAGTGTAGTAGTTACTCGCACTCAGATTGGTTTAATCATGCTACTTCAGAGTATTATGTACAGTTGACAGGAGAATATAATAGAATATGAATGCTGCAGAAATGAGAATGTGAATAAGTGGAGTGATAAGAGAAGATAGAATAAGGAATGAATATGTGAGAAGTAGTATTTATGTAGTGTCTATAGTGGACAAGATGAGAAGTTACAAATGCAATAAAAGTTGTTATGAAAATGAATGTTGAAAAGGAAGACTAAAAAAGAGATGGTTGGATCTGATTAAGAATGATATGAGGGCCGTTAGTATATGCATAGGGTATGTGGAAAATTGAGACAAGTGGAGGTTTTGGACATGGATGGCTGACCCCAAATAGTTGGAAAAAAGGGGAGGGAGTAGAAAAGAAGAATGATTACTATTCATAATATAGTAACAATTATTGTTACATCTTTAATTTAATAATTTATTATTAACTGTGTTTATTATTGCTTTATAGTATTTAGTTATTAAAAAAGTTAATAAATAAATAAATTATTAATAACAGTAAATTGTAATATATTTTATGTCTTTAAACAGTTCATATTTTAACATCATATTTATTATTTCTAGGTTAATTATTCAGAAGATCAATTGGCAGGTAAATTATATTATAAACTTTACTATTTTGGAAATTAAATTTTATCTCTTAGTATTTTATTTTTATTTGTGTTATTTAAAGAGTTCCTTATTTTTAACGATTCTTAGTACATTAAAAAAATAAAAAATAAATTACTAAGAATATTAGCTAGGTCAAAAAAAAAAAAAATGAAAAATTTATATTTTTAATTTTTTAACTTATATTAAGTGGAAAAACTAAATTTGGATATGAATTATTTAAATAAGTTTACCGTAAATAATTTGAATAGTCAAATATCAGTATTCGATACTACAATACAATACCTAATAAAAATTATTCCCTTGTGTTTTCACGTATACCTCCATAAATGTTTTAATAATATCATATAGGCTGTGGCATAGCTAGGGTGATGTGCAAAGGCAGACATTTGGTTGAATTTTTGGAAAGGCTGTAAAATAACCCGCAGGGTCTTCGTCCCCACACCTCCTTCCCATGCACAAGTAAAACTTATTACTATTAAAAATACAGATATGTTTAAATTGTATTAAAAAAACACTAAATAATGTATATTTAAAAATAATTAATATTTTATTTTAATAAAAATATCTATTTGTATCAGTAAAGATATTTAAAATATCATCACTTTTTATATTTTTCAATATATAGTATTGAAAGATCGCTGAACCTATCTTGAACTAACAATGTCCTTAGCCAAGTTTTATTTATTTCATTGCACTGAAACTTCTTTCGCAATTAGCCAAACTAATTGGTATTGTTAATGCTATTGTAAATAGTTTTTTATTATTTCTTATTTTAAAATTTTCCAAAAAAAAAATGAATAACATTTCTAACAAAGTTTTTATTTTAGAAGAGGGCTATTTAAATATTTGGGGGCTAAGCCTTCCCTAGAATTTATGTGGAGAACATGTCTCGAGGAGCAATATGCATTTGAAGTTATTCAAACTTGTCTTCAAAGATATTTCTGAGTTCTGGCCACCTTTGTAATTTATCATATTTTTTTTTAATTTATAATTATAATACATTTTTAAAATTTGAATTTTATACATAAATAAATAATATTAAATATTGAAGTATTTTTTTATGTTTATTGTATTGTATATTTTATATATGTCACAGCGATAACATACAAGTACCAAATTTATCAATTAAATTTTTTATACTTTTTTTTTTTTTTTTGAGAAACATCTGCAGTATTTAAAATTGTTTATCTTTACTATTTAGGATAGTTGTATATGTTATGAATAATGTCATGCATTTGAATTAAGCACCTCACATTTTTAAATTTAGGACTCTAACTGGTGATGGCAACGGCCAATTATGTTTGCTATTGTCCCTAGTTTACTAATAAATCAATTAACTTTGTGTTTGTTAAACAATATTTTAGTGAGTCTAGTAAAATTGATAAATACTAAATAAATTTGTACCTAATAGGGCTTCACTTGCCTATCATGTACCGAGGCTTTCACTAATCTAGCTATTTCGCTACATAAAGTTCTGTGAGAAATGGGTTCGTCACTATTGATATTAACAACATGAGTAGGTAGACTATTAAATAGAGCAATTAAAATGCAAAATATATCATAATTAAATTCATTATTATTAATAATAACAATTAGGGCAAAAAACTTGTATTATTTACTAGCACAGTTATAACAATAGAAGAGTACTAAACTCTGAATATAACAAATATTCAAATATTTAAAAATTAGATATGTTATACTATTCAAATAATTTGATTATTCGTTGCATCCCTACTTAAAGTATCTTATTACTAATACGAAAGATATAGGTACGTTCAAGGATGGATTTCTCATTAAGCACTGTAGGCAGCTGCCTAGGGTGGCAAATTCTGTAGGGTTTTATTAAAAAATATCAAACGTATGAAGAAAAAAAAAATGGAAAATTAATTACTTTATATTTACGAAAAATAATTGTATAATAATGTTTGCATTTCATTAATATTTTTATATTATTGTTATTTTGGTTCATTATAATTTAGTCATTAATAATTACTCATAAATAAAAACAACTGTACACATAATATGTTATGCATATTATGCTGTTATGAAAATCTGTTTTTATTAATATTTAGTAAACAGTCATTGACATTTTTTCAAAGTAGACTAATAAAGTCAAAAAAATTGTCTAAAAATTTAAATGGATGTAGGTACATATGTCTCTATATTTAATATTTAGATTAGGTATTTTGGAAGGGGTAATATAAATTCTTCACCTATTAGAGGGGAGGCAAATTGTTGTTGCTTATAACCGTAAAAAAGATAAATCCATCTCTGGGTATGTTAATGTAAAAAATGTTATTGTTTGGTATATTATTAATATTGTATAAAACTACACTAATTTTTAAAATGTCTAGTTAATGGTTTTGTGATAATTTTTAAAATTTCTTGATTTATCTTAACTTGTGATTTTTGGTGCACACATTTTTGTTTTATAGAAAATATTTTATTTGAGTATTAAAATATGAGTTGGATTAAATGAGATATTTAAAAAAAAATTGTTATATTATCTGAAAATGTATAAAAATATGAAAGAAACAATATCAAATATTTTTAGGTTAGAAATAAAAGTAGTTTGCATTTAAAATATGAAATTGCAAAATGTAATTGGTAAGTTCATGAAATCAATAATATGCTGTTGCCTAGTATGTAAATTGAGCAATTTATCTACCAGTTATTTCATTAATTAAGCAGAGTGTTATCTTCTTAATGCTTATATTTGACCTCAAAATATTTAACAACGTTATTATGTTTATATTTGTAATTACTGCACGAAAATAATTTTGTCAACACCTGTTGCCATAGGCATAAACCAGCGGTTCCTAACCTTTTTATTTATGTGGACCACCAATTTGATAAAAAAAAAAAAATGAGGTTCACTAATCTGCACATACATTAGTTATTGTAAAAACAATTAAAAAACAATTGATTATTAAGAAAAAAATTATTGAACCTAATTAATCACAAGTTAAACAATTTAATGAAATATTTGGCATATCCCCCACAAGAAATTCAATATCTGGATTAAAGCTGGGCAGTTTTAGTCTTAAATCACTCTCAACACTCTTACTTCAGATTATTTATATACATACCTATTGTTTTTGTTAAAAAAATTAAAGTGGAAAAAGGTCGCTCATCAACTTTCTTTGAGCAATTTTGGCATTTGCTAAATAATCTTATTAATATTATTATAACTAGAAATATTATATAATAATAATATGTAGCAATATTATTTTAACTAGAAGTGCACAACCTTTTTCTATTTTGTACCAAATAAAAAAAATAAAATTGAGAATGTGCCATTAAAAATTAATAATTACTATTCAAATTGTTACAGATTATAAAAATTAGAAATAAAGAAAAAACTAAAAAATAAAAATATGATATTTTATATGTTATTATTCTAGTGTGCCATTTAATATTGTCAAACGTGTCATCCTTGATTTTTAATATTTATACAATTTATTAAGTATAAGCCATCAAACTTTGTAAATAACATAGTTAGTAAATTTTTTAATTTTAAAATATAAATAAATTTTATTTTATTGAATAATTTCTTTTTTTAAGAATTGTCCAACTGTAACTGTTTTAACCACTAAAAAATGGTGTACATAAAGGTAGTTGAGATCTCATAGTAGTCAATGTGTTAAAAGTTATTTAATTTTAATTAATATTAACTAATTAATTAATTAAATCATTTTAATCTAATAACCTTTAACAAATCAAAATAAGATACTTGTATTCTTATTATATATATCATTGACAAAATATCCGATTCCAAATGTATAAAAATATGTTTAAATAATTTATAGCTAATAGTTGTACTTATGTATTAATAATTTATTTTAGAAATGGAAGAAGCATTTCAATTATTTGATAATCGAGGTGACAATAAAATTCACATATCACATATTGGTAATGCTCTTCGTGCATTAGGTCAAAATCCAACTGAATCTGATGTTAAGAAGTTTGCCCAACAACATAAAGCTGGTATAGTTTTAATGCTTTGTACTATTGTAATTTTTATAAATATCATAGTATTTTATAATTATAGGTACTATTAATATTTTTGGGTCTATTTCTCTAATTAAATTAGTAATATCAATGATTACTAGCTTGTATATTTTTTCATTTTTTCTTTATATTTTTGTAGATGAGCGTATTCCATTTGAAGTTTTTTTACCTATTTATCAAGCTATATCTAAAATTCGTTCTTCCAATACAGCTGATGATTTTAATGAAGGGTTACGTCATTTTGACAAAGAAGGAAATGGATTTATATCATCTGCAGAACTACGTCATTTACTTACTACACTTGGTTAGTTAGAAAATTGACCTGCCTTAATGTTGTCATTAATAAATATTTATTTTATAAAGGAGAAAAACTTACTGATGAAGAAGTTGAACAGTTATTAGCTGGACAAGAAGATTCTTTAGGCAACATTAATTATGAAGAATTTGTACGTTCTGTAACTTCAGGTTGAATGGTTTAATAATTTTAAAATGTATATTCCTTGTTGGTTAACGGAAGTTTGTACTTATATTATTCAAATATTTTAGTTTAAGTTAATTTATAGTAATATTAACCTATTACATTAATAATTATTGACTTATATTTAATAAAAACAATAGTTTTTGTTAAAAAGTTCATAGAATATTAAATTATTAGAATAAAATACTTAAGAGAAAATAAATAATCTTATGAAAATGGTATTTGTATAACCTATATTATATTTTAAATATATTTGTGTAAAAATCAATTTTCAATATTAATACTTTTAAGTGCTATGAAAAAAAAAAACAATATAATTTTCATGTGTTGAAATAAAATATATTATAAGGTAAGCTGCTATTGACCTTATGAATTGTATAGAAACAAATTATTATTTTTAAATATATTTCATTACTTTTTAATATCACATTGAAACATTTTTTTTAATTGATATAGTATTAAATTATTAATATTGGATTGTTTGAATTAATAAACTAATATTAAAAAGAGAGCATTGAATTATGTCTTTCAAAAAATACTTAAAAGCTAATTCAGTAGTTTTATACATTTTATTGTAACTAGTGTAATTATAATTATGCCTTGGGAAGAGTATATTAAGAAGTGTCAGTAATTTATTATTTAGCAAATACTTTATTAAGATAATAATGTATTAGGAGGGGCTGGTTAGTGGTTTCTTCTTTTAAATTGGTAATGTGACAACACTTATTTTTATCATAAGGGTCTTTTGTCTAAGAATATTTTTTCATGCTCGTTCAGAATTTAAATTATTAAATTTATTTTCTGAAAGTATACTTAGACAGTTGCTAACTTTCAGTGATACAAACAAAACTGATATTTTTGTCATTAGTAAGCATTGAGATTATAAAGTGATATAGTTAGAAAATATTTTTCATTATTGGTTTAATTGAAATTTTTCCTTAATTGGTCTTACTACAATGAATATATGTATATTGAAACAAGCTAATTTTTTTTATATATATATATATTTAGATTTTGTTGTAATTAATAAATTACTGAAATCTTCAAGTCAATTAAAAAATTACCTTTTCTTGACTAGCCATTCCACCTCAGCAATAGTTTTTCGTTTATAATCCAAATAATTGAATTGATTCGGTATTGGAGTTATCTTATTCCATACAAAGAGCAATTACTTTAATTAGTTATAGTATCCATGTGGAATATGGCTGATGAGTGGGTTTAATTTTTGACAGGTCCTGGATTGAAAAATCCCTTTTTCAAAAAAAAAAAATTCAAGTATACTTATAACTCTGCATCTCATAAAATGATAAAAGTACAAATTCTTAAGAAAAATTTAAGAAATTGAGTTCAAGGACTTTGGATAATGAGGCTCTGTGGTCACACTATATATAACTGTCAATAATAACTTTATTGATCCAATTACCAAGGTATACATGATATCTATTAAAATCTTTGGAGAAAGTTAAAAAATGTTCGATATCCACCCTGGAACTGTCAATTGCTCTAGAAGAATGGTTCTTTCTTAACCAAATAAAATAAATGAGAAAAAAAATTCAAATCACTAATAGCTTCTCCCTTCCAACAAATAAATCTAAAACAAGAATTCAAATATTAATTAATTTACTATTATTATCCAATTTTTAACTATGTATTAAATAATAATAATAGTAAAATGTACTTAATTTGATTCAATAATGACACCAAATCCTTTGTTTAAGTAGGATAATTGATAGGTAGATACTTTGTGAGAAAACTTGATCTTTACATTTATGATCATAATATCCAACTAAAAAGATAAACAATAAAATGTATCTAAAATTTACATCATGAATTGTATTTATCAGTTAGCTAGATTTCATTTATGTTTGGGGTTAGAGTTTGCTTAGATTTTAGATTTTATTAACAGTAATCATTAAATATTTGTACAAACCTAAATATTATACTTAATATCTGAAGTTCATCTGTACATTTGATTTAACAAAATATTCATGAAATACATAGGAAATTCAAAGTATTTAGTTAAGGAAAATAATTTTAAAAAAAGTATTATATGTACATGAAAGAACATAAAATACTAAAAATAAAATTCATGTTATTTGATAAAATTATATTACAAGCTTAATGTAAATTAATAATATTGGGCAGCCATGTCTTCAGCATCAATACCAAGCATAGCAAGCTCATCTCCCTCAGATTCATTGCTATTTGTTTTCCTTATATATTCTTCTTTTGTTCCCTGAATATTTGGGATTTCCAATTTATTATTATCATCGTCGTCATCATCATCATCATCATCATCATCATCTTTATTAGATTCTTCTTTACCCATCATTTTTTTCAAATGTCTACGTTTTCTTTGTGATGGAGCATTTTTCTTTTTTTTTCTCTCAGGTAAAATATTTACATTATTTACAAGATCATAAGTCATATTGAATGGATGGTGAATCAATGTATTATGTACTTCAGGATTAATTGATGAGTTTATCAAAGGTACAGCAGAAGTATCACTGCAGGGAAAAATCATGTTTAATGCAGTGTTTAAATCTTGAGGTAAAGTATTAGTAGTGTGTGGTTGATTATACATTTGTTGCATTTGATTTCCTGATTGAATTGTGTTTAATTGTGATACAACAGAATTTGTTTCAGAACTAAAAATACCATCATTATTTTCATTTTCATCATCAATATCCATATCAACTGGCAGTATTTGCTTTTCAATCTGAAATAATTAAAAATTATATTTTTTAAATTTTTTAATTAAAATTTTGAAATTAATTAATAATTAAAACTTTATAATTTAAAAGAAAAATATATAAATTTTATAATAAAAGCTAAAATACTTATGAATTTAAACATTACATAATTTAATTAAAAAAAAAATTGATACTAAACTTGCTCGTATACATTTTTTTCTAGAAACATTGGTGCAAATTACAAGGATACTAATGGTGTTAGCACCCTGAATTTATAAACTAGTACTTCAAATCCCATCATAATAACACATAATATTTACATACAATTGTTAGGTGCTTATGCCCTCCCAATAATAATTTTGGATGATAGTGATCATGTTAATGTAGCTATTTATTTATATTCCTATATTCTTTCCAAATCTAGTTCGTCTTCTGAGTGTTTTCTAGTAACGTATGAACATATGTTATCCCACAACAATTTACTTATTGAGATGTATTCAATGTTAATAAAGTATACTTATCCCATTCACTCTTAGGTGAGAAAAGGAAATTTTATATAAATTATAAAAAAAAAAAAAATTAAAATAATTGGCAAGGATAACAAAAGTAAAAAAAAGTGATTCATATAATAATTTCAGTATATAGTACATATAAAAATATATATACATATATTAATCATTTATATTCTTTTGTAAATAATAAAAATAAAAATTGTAACTGCGTTTGTCATCTTAGTTATTGCAACTATTTTTTTTTTACTAGATTTAAAAATTACTATGGCCATATAAAAGTTAACATCTAAAATAAATAAAAGACTCACTATAATGTTATTTAAAACTATTCAAAGTCAAAATTTTTATTTTGAACTATAAAATCTGTTCATAATTAATATGTTTTTTTCAATACTGTACCTTTTTTTCATTTCCTGTATTAATTATTTTTTCTGTTAACATTTTTTGAATAGCCACAGTATCCATACAATTATCTTTAGGAACATCAGTTGTACATTCTATAGTAAAATTGGGTATATCTTTTGCACATGAATTTGTTTTCTTTAATATAGGTTTAGCAAATGGCATTTTTCCAATAAAAGGTAGTTTAATTTTGTTACGATTAGATAAAGCAAGGCTTTCATCTTTTTTATCATACAGTATAATTGGTTTTGGTTCTTCAAGTCTTTGTTTTTTCATATGACGAACATCTGATGAAGATTTATATTCATCGATTTCATCAGTTTTATTTTTATGCAATTTGTCCTTAGATTTTTGTACAGTTTCCTTTAAAGTTATCATACTTTTTTCTACTGGTAAATCAACTGGTTTCATCCAATCTGATAGTGATACATTATTTGTATCATTACTTTCTTTATCAGGACTTAATTGATTCTTTAAATCAGTGTTTTTTCGGCTTCTCTCAAATTCTTTTTTGAACTTATCACGATCCCGATATTTTTCTTTTTCTCTATCTTTTTTTACATCTTTCTCAAAAAAAGATTTTCCAACTTTAGATTCAGTAGTATTTAATTGTGGATGTTCTTCTTTTATTGTTTCATGTTTAGTTGCACAGGTCTGTGATAGAGATTTCTCAAAAGCACGAGTTCTTTTTGTAAGCCATTCAATTTCCCAATTAGGTTTCTTTGTAATTAGTTCCTAACAAAAATTTGAAAACATCAATTATAAATAATATATTTAGAAGTTTATAGAATATATAGAAATATAAGAAATAATTAATGGTCTATTAACTAATGTTAATGAAAAAAAACACTTTACTATAATTATTAATTTATAGGTTCTTAATAAAATAAAAATGTTATATTCAGAGTGAAATGAAGAAGCTGTTGGTTTTGTAATTTTTTAGTGCCAGTGTACCAGGAACTTCAATGATCACAATCATAGTAATTTTTGATAGAAAATATTGTACAGTTTGTTGTTTGCTATACATGAAATTTTTAAAAATATCGTATTTTTTTAAGCTTATACATATTTTAAATTTCATGTTTTTCGAGTTTTTTTTTAAGTATAAATAAAATATTAATTAAAAATTCTTGAAAATTCAAAACTAAGTTTCTTCTACATACCTCTTACTGGTTAATGAAAAAACAATTGTGTGTAATTTCAGATTTTTTTTTTTAGCATTTCAAATATTAAATTTTAACCCTCAATTTCAATACTTTGAGCTTGAAAATTAAATACATTTTCTCTGTAAACATTTTTTAACCGCAAAGGAGCAAGTTTTATAAGCATTATAAAATCAAATTTTAATGAAATCGTATATTACAATGAATTTTCATCATATAATAGTTACTTATAAAATATTTTGTGATATTAACACATTATAAAAAAAACCTAGATATTTCTCGCAAAAGTTGAAACATAAAATATTCAGAAATTTGGTTCTACAATAATATCAACCATCTTTAGAGATATAAATTGATAGAACAATCATCTTTCACTCAGATTCGTTTTTTAGAGAGTAATGGCAATTTGTTTCAAGTTTAAAAAGACCAAAACAATAATTTAATTCACTTGACCATAATCTTTTTTTTTCAAATAATAATATTAAAATAATTACTGCATATAAATCATTATGGCGTTTAGATTTAAAATGTGCTGATGCACAATGAAGATCTCCAATCCAAGTATCACAAAGCTTGCAATACCAAGCACTAGTTCCAATAAAAAACTCCAAACCTATAAATTATTTAACATTTCACAAATTAATTTTATATTTAATACTTATATTACTTACATATAAATTTGAAAATTTTCTGGAGTATGTAAATGTTAGAGAAAATAAAACTTAATAAAATAAATTAAAGTGTACTAAAACATAAATGTTAAGGACAATAATATGCAAACTCTATACATGAGTTATATACAGAGCTGTCCTATCTAAGGATTATAGGGCCCTTGACAAATTAATTTGGGGTCTCTCAATCATCACAAACATATTCGAGTATGATAAAAAAAATATACATAAAGTTTTTAAAATATAGATAAATATAGTTTTCCAAACTTCAACCAATCAAAATCATTTAAATGCATCAATTAAATTAATTACATTTTTAATAACTTCTCAAAAACGTATTACTATTTACCAAATTTAATAAAAATTAAATTTATTTCAAGATAATTTATAAAAAGCAATAGAAAATAAGAACTTAGATATTGTTTAATTGATACTTACGCTAAAATTTTTTTGAAATTTGGATAAAATTATATCATACTCTGGTAATAACCATACTAAATTAGTTATAACTATTAAGAAATTAGAATAACTGAAAATGTAGCCTATATTATAGAGCTTAAATATAAAATTAAGTTATTTTAATTTAATTAAATTTATTAATATTTCATAAAGAAAAATAGTTTAGAAATAATATATTATATTAATTGATATTATTAATATCAATCTCTAATAGGGTAACACCGAATATTTTTAATCAATCTGTACTTAAAAGGAGCCCAATTTAAATTGAGGCCTGGGGAAAAATAATTTCATTGCCCCCACCCCTAGTTTTATATATTTGTGGGGTTTCTCCCAAGACTGCAAGAATTCTCCACCCTCTTGTTTTATTATTAGTATCAGACATGATTTGTTTTGCTTGTCAGCATCATGGCCACAATGTAGATCGTGCCATGAGTTGTGTTGTTTTGTTCGTATGGCTAATATTAATAAAGGGAAAATATTTTACTCAGATTCGTGTTTACAATTGTTATTATTTCACCATATTCTACATATTTATATATATATTTAACTATAATTAGTATATTAAAAAATATGAAAAAATACCTTTGATGGGTACACGTTTGGTTGGTAGTTCAGGATTTTTTTCAGGTTGTATCGGTTCTGTTTGAGAATCATGCCAGGGTAATTCAACAACATTTAATTCCTAAAAAGAATAATATAATCATTAAAAATTAATTTTTATTAAAAAATAATATATATTTCATAGATATAGCTAACCTCAAGTGTTGTTTTATGTGATTCACTATGCAAATGAGTTAAATATTCTTTTGCTGTTTTAGGAAAAATATTACAAGGTTGACACCAATGAATGCAGGAATCGCAATATACATAGTTAAATTTAGGTAATTTATCAATGCGATTTTTTTTTTTGTTAGTATCATTTAACTCTTTAATGTTATATGATTTTTTAGAATCAGTTTTTTCTTCATCTGTAGATTGCACTTTAGAGAATTTTTTTGATTTTAAAGGTTTGTTTTTTTTTTTTAACTCTTCTGAAGATGAAGATGAAGTACTTTTATGACGTTTATTTATAACAGAAACTACATCTTGTTGCAACGTTTCTTTTGTAGTTTTTATAGACTCAGATTCTGTTATCTAAAATAAAATTATATTCAATTATAGTTCAAATAATATAATACTTCTATTTTCAAAAATTACTAATTTTTTTGGTTCCACTTTTTTAACTTCTTTTAAAGAATCTTTTGGTATCATAGTGTTTAGTACTTCAAGAATATTATTTACACCTTTAATTTTTCCATTAACATCATCCTACAATAGATAAATAATTTAATGTTTGTCAAACTTAAATAATACAATTATACATGTCTTATTAATTAAATATTACCTGGGCTTTTCGATTCTTTTTCAATTCATTATTATGACAACCATCAGAATTATCTAATTTAAATTTATCATATTGTATTTGTAATGTTTCAAGTTCTTTTTTTAAACTAAAAAGCTTAGTTGTATATGTTTCACGTTGCATATCAAGAATACTATCCTGAGAACTTTTAGGCTGTGTATCTGGTACTAAAATCAAAAATGCAAGTATAAAACTTAATATAGAAAATACTTAATTTTAGTTTTTAAAAATAATATCTTTTATTACTTAGTACTTAAATGTGTATTTAGTAGAAGAATTAGCTGGAATTAAAGTTATAATTAAAGATCAAAAAAAAATTTTCGCTAAGAAAAATAAAAAATAAATCAACATCAGAAATAACAAGTATACCTGGGGTAATTTGAGTAATATTTGGAGGGGGTTTTGTAATATCTACAACTTGTTTCAAATCTATATTATATAACCCTTGATTGGTAGATTGATAACCCTGTGTAAAAAAAATCATCCAATATTTAATAGTGTTTAATATGTACAATCTTAAAGAGAAATAATATTTACTTCTACTGGTTCAAGATTAGAATGTGCTGGATTAAAACCAACAGATTTTTGATCATATTGTTGAAATTGTTGAAATGGTGTTCCATATTGTTGGTACCCTGGTGGATACCATTGAGAACTTTGAACCTATAAGTACAAATCTTAATACACCTTAAGACTATAATATATACACATATACACAGGCATATGTTATACATATATAGTGGAGACTTTACATAGTTAATTTTTTTTATGGAACCACGAAATTTTCATAAAAAAAAAACTCATACTCCCATGTTTATAATAATCCATGTACATATATTATAAAAGATACTATTTTAGATAAATAATATATTTTCTAAATGTAAATATTGATAAATGTATTTGACAAAAATTGATTTATAGGTATTAATATATATTTTTTTTTTTTGTTAATAATAAGCAAATCCTAATTTTGTTAGAAAATTTTGTCATAAATTATATCATGGATACTGGATGTTAAAAAATTGTATATTTTTGAGTTTGATGTAATTCCCTCTAGGACTATTCTAAATTTCCCATTACAAATTTTTCATACATTAGTTAATATTAAAATGTGTGTTTTTATTTATTTTTATTAGATACTTACTGGAACTTGTTGTCGTTGTTGGTATGCTGTAAATTGAGATGTTTGAGGTTGAATATAATTTGATGTTGAAGGATATGTAGAATTTTGCATTCCTGACCATTGTGAATTATAAACTGGTAAACTACTGGGTGTAGCATGAATGGAAGGCGGAGGAGGTTCTTTTAAAATAGAATTAGATCCTCTAGAAGATGAAGAAGTCTGAGAATATCGGGTTCCTAATTTATTAGACTGTTCTGGGTTTAATGGTGGAGTATCACTTTTATCAGAATTAGTTAGAGACATTGACCTAGTTCTCTTAGTTTTCTTTTCAGGTTCAGAATCAGATGAAATTACTTCTTGAACATACAATATCTCTTTATTAGTTTTCTTAGAATATAGATCATTAGATAATCTATCTTTTTTAGGCTCAATTAATGGAGAATTTATCCAATATTCATCATTATCAAAGGTTAAATAATCTTTTCTGCCTGGTGTTTTTGGTATCTTAGGAATAGATTTTTCTCGGATTGGAGAATCATCCCAATTATTTGAGTACACATTTTTGGTTGAAGTCTTAGAAGTTGGAGATTTTTCCCAATATTCATCTTTATCTTTGTTTGAATATTCTGGTCTACCTGGAGTTTTAATACCTTTAGAAGAATAATCGGATCGTTTTGACTTCTTTATATCCTTTTTATCATTTTTATCAGCTTCAATCCAATAATCATCATCACTTTTTTCAGCATAATCAACCCGACCAGGTGTCTTAGAACCTTTAGAGGCTTTTAATTTTTCTACAAAATCATCAGAATTATTTTCATCTTCAGAATTACTCTTAACAGTCTGTTTTTTGTCAATGGTTTGATTGCATTCATTAGGAGACCTAGGATGCCGTGATGGAGATCTTTTCTTGGGTGATTTTTGTTTTGGTGAAGTATAGCGTCTTGATCTAGTAGATGTTCGTGAACGAGAACGAGAACGATATCTACTTGGTGATCGACGTCTTTCAGGCGAACGGGAATAACGTCTATGTCTAGGAGGAGAATGATATGGTCTTACACGATACTGACTTTGTGGTGAATGATGTCTTCCACGATCACTTCTATCCCAATAGTTGTTTTGGTATGGTCGCCTATGACCTCTATATAAATGACCAGTTGGATTTCTATATTTTGAATCATAATAATCTTTTTTATCTTTATATCTCTCTTCATTTTTTTCACTTGTATCATCATCCTTTTCCCATTTATTTCTAGGTATCGGTGAACCATCTTCTCCATCATGTTTTTTTTTTATAGTATCTTTTTCGGTGCCCAAAGGAGATTCCCATGATCTTTCTTCATGTGAATCACTTCGATCATTGTCATTGTATGAAGAAGATTCATACTTATCTCTAGAACTAGATCTTCTAGATCTGCTTCTCATTGGACGTCTAATTCCTCTTCTACCACGATAAAAACCTCTAATGAATGGGCGACCACCTCTAGTTCTTCTCATTCCTCTACCACCTCTATCCATTTTTTTTAAATGATTGTTATCACTCTAAAATGTGAATTTATAAATTACATTAATAAAATAATAAAATACAATTTTTTACCATTCAACAATAGCAATATGAATAATTATAGACATCAACTACATATAAATATTAAAAATGTATGAATATATAATAAATATAAAGTGTACCACAATCAATTTAAAACAAGAATTTCATACAAATCTGGACAAATCAGATCAAATAATATGCAATCTATTTAGCTGTTTTTTTAAACAATTTCAATATAAAATTAAGTATAAACTACACATTCAACATATATTATGTTTCAGTATTATAGTAAAATTTAGTAAAATATTCATAATAATGTTATTATGATAACAGGAAAGAATGGTCAATATTAAACTTTTGTTTCCTAAAAAAATAATACAAGGGATCAAATCCTCTTTGACTCGCACATAAATACTGGTTTTTTAAGTCTATAAATATAAAAAAATTTTTATGAATGATTAGGGCTGTTCTCTTCTTAATAGGACACCAAAACAAATACACCATTCATTAATGATTGTTGATAAACACACTAATGGTAATTAAGCAAGTAATATCTTACCTTCAATTTATATACACTTGCAATATTTATAGTAATGTTATATCGATAGACATGAAGATATTAATAGTTAACAATAATAACCCTATATGTAACTAAATAACTGATTAATTTAAGAAAACCGGTAAAATGTACTAAATAATTAGTCATAAAATAATATCAATATCAAAAATGAAATTATATAATCCATTAAACCATAGCCTACAATCCTATACAAATCGCATTAAAATAATAAATGGTTGGCGAGTGTAGTGACATTGTTACAAATAGTTTTGAAAATATTCATAACAAAAAACATTTGATGAATTATTTCACACAACAATTTTTGACATTTATAAACATATCATTATTTAAGGTTAATTTTTTTATGATAAAACATATAAATCAACAATAGACAGAGACAGTATATCCAAAATTGAAAATAATAAATTAGAACTGATCGGCATTGCAAAATGCAATTGAATCTACTACCAAGATTTGTAGATTGTGGTATAGCATTCTGGTAGAGACATTTCGATAGTACTTTTCGATTATTTAATAATGTGATTTCGTTAATAATTATTAATTTAAAATCATAATTTCCAAAAACTAAAATACATATTTTAATGAATTTAAAATTTTAATACAAACAATTACTTTTTTTAAATTGTTTACATTTTTTTATTTTTTTAAAATTACTTTATATGGGAAATCGATTGTATGATTATGAATTGATTGATAAGCACAAATTATGTCATATACCACTTCTACCTACCAACTACCATAGTATATAATATATTTTTTTGTGTTGGAAACTAATTATTTTGTTTAATATTTTTAATTTTATGTGAAAGGTTTTTTGCTTGATTAATTTGTTAATTTTATTAATTATTTGTAATCTATTGATGTTTTTATTGCTTGAACAACTTATTAGTCTGTGTATATTTTTGACAGTAACATCAGTTCGCATTTCTTACGTAAGATAGACACATTTATACGATCAAAACTAAACAATATTCTTTAATGATAATGTAACATGAACTAGTTATATTAATAATATACCAATTTTCAGTGTTTATATGAAATAATCTCATTTATATTCATAATTATTTGTAAAGGACAGATATTTTTTAATATTCTATTATAATTTGTCATAGTTACAATATTAATATGTATATATATATATATATAATTGTAACATAAACCCTTAGTAAAAATATTAATACAAATGTGATTATGGTATCAAACCTAATTGACACAATTATGTATGTTATTACAATATGAAATATATATTGTTCCTTCTGAAGGTATATTTAAAACTTTTAAAATATTATTAAATAACTATATTAAATCAGTAGTATGAAAATTATTGAATTAAATTAATATTTATTTCCTATATTATAGAATGTATTTTCATTATTTATTCAGCACATATAAAACATTAAAATTATAAGTTTATAAAACACTTATAATTTACAAAGTTCATTTTTAACTGATTTAGTTCATAAATTTATGTCTCGTAAGTAACATTTTATCTGTAATTGTTTAAATAAGTTGTAAACCTACAAAATTTCATAATAAAATTTTTTTATAACTAAACTAAAAAAATATTTGTATAAAAGTTTATTTAAATAACAATTAAAGATTATTCTTGTATTGTTATCTTAATTAAGTTATGATCTATGAGTTATGTCTATTGAATATAACCTAATATTTTGTTTTTATATAGTTTATGAACAGTATTTTATAAAAAAAAATATGTATAATAAGTATTTAATACCTCAGTAGTACTGACATAATAATTGTACTAAGATCTGAACATTCTATAAAATTGTTTATTTATTAATTTAAATTATTTTACTAAGAATTGTAACTTATTTGTTTTCTTATATTTTTTTGAATATAAATACAGTTTTAGTTGTACTTTTATTAAGTATAGTACTAATATGGTTTTCTCTCATTTGTCAACTTCTCTTACATTGCTTTCATCGTCACAACATACTCGTTTATTATTGATAGAATATTAACCATTTGTAGAGTCTTCACTTATAAATAAAATAAAATAACTACTTTTTGAATTTAATTGAAAAATTGAATTTTTTGAACTTTTTTTTTTAGTTATAAAACTAAGGTGAATACATCAAAGTTTTATTAGTTTATAAAATGAATATCCAAATTACTTAAATTATTTATTTCTTATTTAGTATTCTTATCGGCTTTATTTAGAATTTACTTTAACTCTGACTTAAAAATAATTATAGTTTATTTTACACTTTTAAATATTTAATTTTATATATATATTTATATATAGTTCATTTATGTTTTTAGTTTGTCTGAGTTTAATTTAAAATTATATATTTACTATTAATCAGTAATTATTATGTAATTTAAATAAAGTTGATTTTATTTGCAGTTACCATGACTGTAATGTCTCAAGAAGAAATGATGGTTGGTATTAAAACTGTTGCTCAAGGATTAGAAGCCTTGAAAAATGAGTTGATGGCATCTAATAATTCTGGACAAAGTACAATGCAACCAGAAGAAAAACAATCTATGCTTCAAAAAACTTTAGATATGACAGAATTGGGTCTAGGGGAAGCTCAGGTAAAATATGAACGTGATAAAAAGTATAAGAATTACTTTTATAATATTTGTTTTTATAAATTATATTTATGATCTTAACATAATTAATATATACTTCCAATAAGTATGTTAGTATTATTTATTTTTGTATATTATGAATTAATTAGCAATTGAAAAATATATTCTTGAATGTGTATTCATATTGTATTCTGTAGGTGCTATTTATTCATCTTTTATATGAAACTTTACAAATTGCAGATATAATTTTTATTTTACACACATTTTAATGACTAACTTAAATTATTTAAAAAGTGTTTGTTATGATTTTTTAATGAGTAATTTTAATTTTTAAGATCACTTAAATTAACATAGCTTTATTAATAAATATTTTGTATTTTAAATTTCATATTCCTTAGCAAAATATTTATCTAAAACTGTTAAGATGAAAAGATGAATATCATAACCATACTTAAATATTTACCAATGATAAAAGTTTAGGTTTACTTAATAGTACCTTAACATTTTACATTTTAAGGGGAATACTCTACCTTTTATAGAACTTTAAATACTTATTGGTTTAACAAAAATATTTTATTTATTAAATAAATCAAAATTTTTTGCTTTACAATATGTATTAAATTAAAAATTCATTCTACTATTTAAAAATGTTAACATTATTTCAATAAAAATATTGTGTACAATTATAATTGTTTTCAATAATTTGTCACTTCAAATAAAAGAAAAAATATATTTTATTAAGTCAACACATTATAATAATTAAATTATATAAACACATAAACAAAGTTGTTTTTATTTTGATGATCATAATTTTAATTAAAAATGCTGTGTAAAATGCAATATAATGCATAAAGTATTAAGCTTTAACTTCTAAGTGTATATTATATATAATGTATTAACCCACTAAAAAATTAATATTACTGTTTTATATTTATAAATATGTTTATAATTTATAATACCAAATGTAAAATGGTTATAATTAATACTATAATTACATTATTAATAATCAGGTTATGTTAGCTTTGGCTTCCCATCTTCAAAATGTTGAAGCAGAAAAACAAAAATTAAGAACTCAAGTTCGCAGACTTTGTCAAGAAAATGCATGGCTACGAGATGAGTTAGCTAACACACAACAAAAATTACAAGCATCTGAACAGGCTGTTGCATTATTGGATGAACAGAATAAACATTTAGAGTTTATGGCATCTATCAGTAAATTTGATGCTGATAAGGTTTTAAATATTTACTGATTTATATGAATTTAAAACTATGCATACAAATAATATTTTTGATTTATATATCTGTAGACTGAAGACCAGATCGAAAATAAACAAGAAAAATCTAAAAATGATGATCCTGTTGTTGATTTATTCCCAGATGATGAAAATGAAGAAAGAAACAGTAAGTACTTGAACTAAAATAATATTTTTCTTAAATTATAATTTATTAACTTTTTCTAAGTGAATTGTACTTCATATTTTATGTTCTAAAAACCAAGTTTATTGAGCTGTATGTGCTGTTTTAAAAAACAATAAGTTTTGTTTTTATTCATTCTTTTCCTAAATTCAGTGTACAAGGTTTAAATTAATCATAACTATATTTGATGAAAAGTTGCTCTATAATTATTGGTTAATATTTTATTTTATATAATATTAAAATATTTGAGTTGGTATCCATAAAGTAGTATGGACTTCTTACTCTAATTTTATTTATTTATTTATGGTATTTATTTAATACCATATTTTAGTTATGAGATTTATTTATAATAATAATATGCCAATAATTGTTAGTTAGTAAATACTTTAAAATATGAATATTTTTATTTTAATTTTACCATAATTCAACCATTATTATTGTAACCTAATTTATATATATTAATTTAATGTTAAATAAATATAATCGATACATTTAAACTTTATTTATTTTACAAATAAACAGTTTACTTAATATTGATGATATATGTAGTGTAAAAATTAAGAATTACTCTATACGAAGAAAAATTGAAAAGTCTTCTGCTGTTATTTAGTTGATCATGATATGTTGAAAATTTATATGACAATTTTATTTTAAGGATTAGATATTGAAATGTTCTAGATCTATAATTCATTATATCACAAATTAACTCTGTTCTTCATTGTTTGAATTTTATAAAACTAAAAAAAAAAAATGATATGATTAATAGGTACTTGTCTATTATCCCTACTACTGCAACTACTCAATTCTGTTATCTCAACTACCACGCCGAATGTGTTAGGGGCTCCGCTAAATGAAAAAATGAAAAGCCTAGGGGAACCAGACGCCATTATTTGGAGTCTTATCTGGCGGAGTTTATCTGAAGATAACATTAAAGGAGAACCATTCGTTAACATATTGAAAAATATTTCCGAAAATTGGTCACCAAAAATAGAATTTTAGACTTATGCAACTGTAACTGTGATCATTTTGATGATTTTATATTTTATACACGATTTAAGATACCTAGTACTATCTTAAATCGTGGTTTTATACTATAACTCTCCACTGCGGTGATAATTTATGTGATTACTGATAATAAAAGTTATATTAATTTACATTATAATATAAATGGCAATTCATGACGTGAATTACCATTTCAATGTGTATTATATATTAAAATACGGAACTATCTGGATAGTACTATAGTAGTCGAGATAATAGAATTAAAAGCCGCTGCATCGAGCGGTAGTAGAGATAACAGACAAGTACCGATTAATGCATAATGATTTTATATAATTATGTATTTATTCTATATCTTAAGTAACCATAGCTTTGTATAGATACAATTTTTCTATAATTATAATTTATAAACTTATCTTGATTATGATAAAAATTTTTATGTTTGATCTAATGTAATATATATATATATATATATTTTAATAGCACTATCTCCTACACCACCATCACAGTTTGCTCAGCAAGTGAATGCTGGAGCTGGTTATGAAATTCCAGCACGTTTGAGAACTTTACATAATTTAGTGATTCAATATGCATCTCAAGGAAGATACGAAGTAGCTGTTCCATTATGTAAGCAAGCTTTGGAAGATTTAGAAAAAACATCTGGACATGATCACCCGGATGTAGCTACTATGTTAAATATTTTAGCACTTGTGTATAGGTAATTTTTCTATAAAGATATATCAATTAAAATTTTATTATAATAAAGGCATTTGGATGTTTGTTATTTTGTTTTTACTCATATACTCTTTAATTTTAGGGATCAGAACAAATACAAAGATGCTGCTAATTTACTAAATGATGCTTTAGCAATACGAGAAAAAACTTTAGGAGAAAACCATCCAGCTGTAATATTTTGGTTATACTTAACAACTTATTGTATTTTTATATATTATAATTTTTAGGTAGCAGCAACATTAAACAATTTAGCAGTACTTTATGGTAAACGAGGTAAATACAAAGATGCTGAACCATTGTGTAAAAGAGCTTTAGAAATTAGAGAAGCAGTATTAGGTAAAGGGCATCCAGATGTTGCTAAGCAATTAAACAACTTAGCTCTGCTATGTCAAAATCAAGTAATTAATTTGTTTAATTTAATCAATTTCAAGTTTATTTGTTTTTTTTTTTTAAATAGTGTTATTTAATCATTGTTTTAAATTACATATTATGTTATATTGATTAAGAATACTTAATTTTTATTAAAAATTATCAACAAAAAATATAATTTTTTAGTTAAAAAATCGGCCATATATGTTATGGAATCTAGTATAAAATATAATTTGATTTTTTCTTTAAATATTTTAAAAGTTTATAAGTACAATTATTTATTTTTAAAAATTACATTAACAACTTTGTAAATTCTTACCATATACTTAAATGAAGTTTTGATAATCTACTTTTATCATTAGTAGTAACAATATGCTGATCATAATATAAAATATTTTATAGGGTAAATATGAAGAAGTTGAACGATATTATCAACGAGCACTAGAAATATATGAAAAGAAGCTTGGACCTGATGACCCAAATGTAGCTAAAACAAAAAACAATTTAGCTTCGTGTTATTTAAAACAAGGCAAATATAAGGAAGCAGAAATATTATATAAACAAGTATTAACTAGAGCTCACGAAAGAGAGTTTGGCACAATTGATGGTAAGTTAATAATTTACTTAAATACATTTTAAAAAAAAAAAAAAATTATTTATTATTTTAATTATACAGATATTTGTAGTTTAAAATGTATGTATATCTATTTAATTTTTAAAGATTATATCTAAATTGAAAATGCATGTGAATTATCAACCCTTTTAACGTAAAAATTGTAGACAAGAGGGTAAACATATTGTTTACATTTTTTTTTTATTAGGTGACGAAAAGGAATGGGCATCAATGGCTAATAATAATAATTCCAAAGCATAAAAATATACTATTAACGGTTAAGTCATAGAATAAGAATGGTTACAGGGTAGATTATATACATTCCTATAACCTTGTTTGGTTATAAGATCTGATATACGTGTGTGTGTGTGTGTGTGTGTGTGTGTGTGTGTGTGTGTTTATAAAGTTTAAAAAATAATAAATTATACTATTATTTTATTTTATATATATTTATTTTATTGATCTGATAATTATTATGTTTGAGTATATTCAAACTTAAGATTGCAATGCACGGTGCTTAAATTATATTTTTAAATGTTCAAGTTATTATTATCATTTGAATTAAAACTTAATGTTTATGACAGCGGTTCTGAAACTGTGGTACAGGTACCACTAATGGTAAGCAAAAGAGAGCATGATGGTAGAACGAAAATTAAAAATTTAATATTTAACTCTTATATTAATTTATTAACATTAATAAATTTGTAATAATAAATAATTATTTTATTTTAGTATTTTACTGCCTTTTTATTTAAAATAAGTATATTTAACTATGTGAAGTTTATATGGTTCTATTTTTAATCATTAATGATATGCGATATAATATACTCATTTGGTACTCGAAAAAAAGTTTGAGAACCGCTGGTTTATGACATTGAATCTCTTTTTTAGTCACACAAATCTATTAAATTTTTTAGGGTAAGATTATTTTTTTATTATTTACATATTTATTGTTTTATTTTAATAAAGTATATCTAATACACATTTTTTATATAAATATATCAATTGAAAAAATACTTGAATTTTTATAGTCATACAATATTTGATTTAATTTTTAATAAAATGTTAATACCTATTAAAGATAAATATTTATAAATAATTTTAGGTAGTTAAAGATATAATCTTATTATAAAAAAAGCTTTGATTGGTCCAGCATGAAATTAAATATCTTCATTTAAATTATTTAAATAAATATTTCCTTGGAAGTAATTTCTTTAAATAGACTTGATTAAGAAAATAAAAATAATAAGTAATATATATATATATATATATATATATATATATATATGATAAATTGTATGAAAAATATGATATTGTGATAGTTATAAATTGTTTCACATGTCTACATATGAACTATGAAAATAAAATTCTACCAAAAACTACTGATAATTTCTATAGAACTACCGTGTATTAAAAAATAGTTATGATTTGTACTTCATTCATATTAAAATAAAACCTAAATTGTTTTTTATTCACCAAACATTGTGAGAAATATCTTCCTATTTAAACTTGTATTAAAAGTTGGTATCTGTCCAATACAGATAGAAATTGGATACTACAAGGTTACCTCTTAACATGAATAGGGTATAGATACTTACTATGTATATTTATCTAAGATTATATTCACTATGTCATTAATATTTTTACATGGATTGTCAATAATCATTTATATTTTTATTATTATTATTTTTATTATTATTATTATTATTATTATTATTATTATTATTATTATTATT